GAAATTAAACAAAATAATTCTAATCAAATAACCATAAATATAATAAAATGTTCGTCTTCTTATATACCCATATATACCAAATTTCATAATGTAATAAATAAAATCATACATGTATTTCATGATGAATGGTTGAGTCGTTAAGGCGGTAAAAGGTAATAAATGAACAAACACAATTTCTCATCTATTAGTGTTAAAGTTATTATTAGTACTCGTATTTATGTTCTGATTAAATAAGGGTATTTATAAATACGTAGCTCAGTGAAAATAACAATATATTACCATCGTCGTTGAATATTGTTTATTTCATTCAATTTCAGAAATTGATTCCATTTACCATTCCGTTCCCGAAAACAAATGAAATACAAACACACGGAATAAATATTTCCGTGAATTGAATCCTTGATTCTATAAATCGGACGCTTAGATGTTTCAATCAAGACAATTGTTCTCTCCTTTTTCTATTTTAAGATTATAAGAAACAACTGTGACTTCGTAATCCTCTTTAATTATTAAATTAGCAAGTTAAATCTCTAGGTATTATTGTAGCTGTTTGAAAATATTGAATACTTTAAATTGTCATTCTTTCGGTTTTACCAATTTTATTACAAATCGTATCTTATTTTTGTACCTAGATTTGAATTTAAGTGTCATTACATTTTATTGTAAGTAATTTAAAGCATTTTTATTTATGGAAAATTTGAAATGGAAAATTAGTTTCTGACACTATCGATTGTTTCTGGCATTCGATAAACAAACATGTTTGCAAGTTTATTTAAATTTAAGTAACATTACATTTTAAGTAATTAAAAGCATTTTTATTAATGACTGAAATAGAATTATTACATTCATATAAATGCAAAATTACTTTCTGACACTTTGTGTCCATTGTTCCTGGCATTCGATAAACAAACTTGTTTGCAAGTTTGACCAAATGGAGACTTTGAAGTTTGACCCTTCAAACTGAAAGGAAAACCGGCTGTTTGGTGATGGAAACGCAACTAGGACAGTTACCCAGATAACTTGTATACAAAGTTTGGAATATGGATTAGTCTCCTGAGGAATGGAATACATGAAAAGTACCTCTATCATGGTTCTCTTAAAAGTATCTCTACAGTACATACTTCAATGTCTATGACGCTGTACAATGTACATGTTATATGCGATAGTTACCATTTTCTATCAGATAGTTGGTCAGCTTGTGACCCTCCAAGTTGCATAGAAAAAACATTATTAATTATAGTGATTGATGGAAATTCTTTATACGATACAGAGCCAAAAATTAATACATTTTTCTAGTAAAATTCATTTTTGGCATTGCTTAGAAAATGAGATGGATGTTTTGAATAAACGTTGAATTATTAATTGATTTATTAAATGAACAACAAACAAATAACACAAATATTCACGTGTTATTAAAACGAAAATGTAATTAAGCAGCCAGTACAAGTAACGTATTTGTTTAAACGGAATGATAGCATTTTGTGTGTACTAACAGTTATATCTGCGTGGTTTATATATTTACTTAACAATTCGATGAACTTCCGCTTCCGCGTAGATATCGACATGTATTTGATAACTATTTGTATCCAGTAGTTAATTTTCTATTCTTTTTATCGTTTTGTTAGGTCTTTTATGTTGTGTACAGTGGCGTTTGGTACTTCAAACGTCACTGTCCTTGTACATTGTTACAGCCGTTAACTGTCCGCTGCTGGACATAGCTTTTCCCATAAGGAAGGTTTTGCCAGTAGTTGCCACGTTTGGCAGGCGGGTTGGCGACCGCAGTTTGGCTTTTGGTGATCTTTTAAGAGGCACCTTGCTGCCCATTCCTCCATCATAAGCTCCCTTAGTCGCCTCTTACGACACCCATGGGAAAGGGCGGCCTATTCTATGCTAGGACCTACACGGCGCTTATACATGTTGTATTTGTATGTTTTGGTATGGAACATACTAGTTTTTAAATGTAAATTCGTTCGCATTAACAGGATATTAAGCCTATTTCTTTCTCCGTACCAAATATTATATATGTACATATATCAAGTTTCATAACGATCGGTTGAGCTGTTAAGGTGCTAAAAAGTAACAAACAAACTCACGTTCGCGTATAACATTAGTAAGGTCCTCATGACGACAGGATGCCTTAAATACTATACCGTAAACCATAAAAATAAAAACATTAGAATAGATTCCTCATGCACTTCTATAACATCTCTCGTGTATCCACGTCGGTTTTGGACAGTCTTGTCTTCGTCTTTGATTGTATACAAGCTCTCTAATAAGTAAATTGGTTTGTATAAATTACAATTGGATTCTCAGTAGGGAGCCGCTGGGTTAATTAGGGAAAGCTACATTTTCCTTTTTAGGTCGACTCGGGTTTTGGTGTCATGTACAATTATAATATATATTTTATATATATTAACTCATTAGTAGTCTCATGGGATCGCATTCGCATCTATCTATCTATTCAGCCCAAACCAATCCACTGCCGAGCATAGATCTCCTTTCTATCGTGTCCCTTGTAACAGACCTTTGCTAACCTCATCCACTGCCTCCCCACTATCCGCACTATACCATCCGACTATCGGGTTGGTGGTCTACCGACTGTCCTCTATGAACCTGTCCTTCTCTTGGGCACCATTGCCCAAAAGAAGGACAGATTCATATTTGCACAGAATATATTTATTAGGAAAATCCAAAACTTACAATGGACAAATTTTAATTTAGGTACGATTTTACATTTATGAATTTAAATAATAATTTAACATTGTGTTCTATAAAGAAAAATCTACTTCAATTGTGCCAAAACCAATTTTTTTATTTAAAAACTAAACTACTAAAACGATTTAGAAAAAATCTATGGTACCAATCTGTAGGTATATCCTTTCGTATAAAAAAATAATTGTTCATAATGATCTACAAATGATGAAGTAATGAAGTAATAAACAAAAAAAATATAACCGAAATGAGAAACTCTTTTGTTTTGAAGTCGTCGGTTTGAAAATAAGGATAATGTACGGACATACAAATCTTTATAAGAATTGAAAAATTTCAATATTATATTCACATTTTCGTTTATTGGTTTATTCTCTATTTCCACTAATTTCTTATGTTATCAGTTATTCTGTAGACGTGTATCAACGGTCTAGTGCTAACATAGCCTACTGAATTACTAACAAAGCTTGTAGTATAATAAAGGCATCCATCATGCCGAGGAAGTCTGTACAATAGGTACATTTACTACCGCTAGTATTGTAGATTTATATACATCAGCAGAATTTAAAAAGACCAAGGATTTGTAGTCTTGATCAATACAATATGAATCTTTGTTAAAAATGAGAATGTAAAAATGTTCGGTTCAGTGTATTTCATTGAAAAAAAAGTAAATAATTAAAAAAAAAAACTTTTATTAATTACAAATTTTTACAAATTTCTTCTTTTTTGTTCGTGATCTCGCTGTATAATTCAACTAGTAGTATTGTATAATTTGGAGTTTTTACTAATTTTTATCTTTTATCTGATGATGTGTTTTAATACGCTATATTTGATTACGTTGAAAAATGCAAATACGTATTTATATCTGGACTGAGTGTTTTTTTCTCTTATTTAAAAAAAGTATAAATGTTTATCAGCTTTCTTTACTACAAGCTCAGCTTAGATTGTGACTATATTTTGTTATGTGATACATTCAAAGTTGTTTCTAAATATTTATTAAACAGAACAGATATGATTTTTATTTGTTTTTAATGGATAAACTTAGAAACTACATAACTGATATTAAAATTTTCACCTATAGAAAATTACGTTATCAGCGAGCAACATAGGCTGTATTTTCTTTAAAAAAATCGTGCAAATCCGTGGCGGACCGCTAGTCTATACAAATGGATTATATTATTTTCGTTATATAACAGTACAGCAGTAGTAAATTTAATCATGTATAATCTGGAACGGCTAAGTTTGCTCTAGTTTGTCGAGATAATCCAGTCAAAGTTTCCTAAAAGGTGAGCACCCCAGAGACATGAAATTTACGTTGATACTCTTTGTTTTTGCGGATGAAATAGTTACCTAGAAAGAATTCCCATGAGTTTATATAGACTATATATATATATATATATATATATATATATATATATATATATATATATATATATATATATATATATATATATATAAAAATTTTAAAAATAAAAATTTAGATTCTTAGGAGCGCTGGACCTGCTTTAGCATGTTAATTATTATTTTTAAACCCAGTTCTGTGCGCGATTCTGATTATGATCGAGATTTTGTGATCAATTTGTATTGAAAATCAATCTTGATAAATTGCACCAGTTTTATTTTTTGTTTTGGTGTATTACTCTATATCTATACTTCTGTATAATCAGCCATCAATCTCCGACTGCTATTTTGTTTACGCACGTTTTGCGACACGTTTTACCTCTAAACGAGGTATTTTTAGGCAAAGTATTAGATCGTTACTCGGAATCGAGTGTTAACCGTTTAGTGTTCAAACTGCGAAACATATGTAAAATATGACAGGCAGTGGAACTTCTGGTAGTAAGAGTCAGGTAATTTTTCTAGTGTTGGCAATCACACACATATAAATAGCAGCGGAATGAAATAAAATAATTTTGATCATATAACCAGTAAATTATTATACAGTCACTGTTGTCAAAAGTACTTTTAACAGTTTTTTTTAGTTAGTTAATTGTAACTCACGAAAGTACTTTTTTTTCGCCAGTACTGCTATAAGTACCTTGAAATGTCCTTTTCAGCAACAATCATCAAACTTGACTATTTTTTTAATCCACAACTGTAAAAATTATTTTTGTCAGTTTGTTTTGCAGCTACATCTGTCCAAATTTTATTTACTGGTTTGGAGTTTGAACGCTTACATCTAATACAAATCATACCAAACAACTCTCTCATGAAGAGCAAACCTCTTCTTATTGCCTAGAAAAGTATTTTATTTAATGTTTTATATATAATATTTTTTTTGTTCTTTTCAGGACATCGACAACTTAATGACCGAAGGCAACAAATCGCGAACGGTCGCGGCGACAAACATGAACAGCGAGTCGTCACGGTCGCACGCGGTGTTCAGCGTGGTGCTGACGCAGACGCTGTGCGATGCGGCGACAGGCGTCACCGGCGAGAAGGTGGCGCGACTGTCGCTCGTCGACTTGGCCGGCTCCGAGCGGGCAGTGAAAACGGGCGCCGTCGGCGACCGCCTGAAGGAGGGATCCAATATTAATAAGTAAGCATTAATTACCTTCACCCAGATATTCTTACTTGAGGGTTGATGAGTTAACAATTGGATTTTCTTCTGAATTACAGTTAGTATTTATATTTATCAAGGAAAATGAATATATAATTGATTGTTTCGGTTTGAAGGTTAGTGGTTTGAATATGGCATTGAAATTAACGTAGTACGAAGGGATAACACCTTAGTGGAATGAGAGCGCATTAGGGTGATATCTCTAATGCGTTATTGTGTGTTCTATGTTTCCCATGGTGCAGTACATGTCTAGAACTTAAAATTTTCCACCAGGTAGTCAATCAGCTTGTTATTGACATTCTTAGTTACATATTATCATATTATTTTTACTATCGCACCACACACCATCGACAGGGAAGTCATCCTTACACTCTAGAACTTAAATGGTGCAGCACTATATGCGAGTGCTGTTTCAAAGGAGTTTTCTCCCGTGAACGTTCAGACTCTGGTATGAGTTTCCTGCCGAGGTTTTTTCTAGAAACTACAGTATGTGTTTCTTCTTAAAAGCAATATTAGGGTTTCTTCAGGGTTGGTAATGTGCTCGTGATATCCCTAGTGTTACAGGCGTCCATAGACTACAGTGACCGTTTACCGGCTGTATGCTTGTTTGGCGCCTTCGTGGTATTAAAGCATTTTAAAAAAATATAAGAAGGTTTTTATATTTGGCCACTTTTGGTTGGCCATTGAAAAGCACGGAAGAACTCTTCTAATTCCCAAAAGAGTTAAATCGAGCGAAAACGAGTGGCGATATCGGTAAAAGGCGGCGGCCTTTGGATGTACGTCTTTCGAATAGGCGACGTGCTGAAAAAGGACCGAGTCAAATGTACTCGTAATGGATGAGCTTGTATGAATAGATTGATGAATTGATGGATATATTCTATTTACTTTGCTTCTTACGATACAATACAGAAATGACTTATTTTATTAATGTTTTTATATATTATAAAAAATATATATTAATGATTGTAATCTTTGTTGAGGTTAGAGGCATTTGTTCACTAATATATTCCACTATTATTTTGTATACTGTAATATATGATATGGCAATATTTCTCTGAGCATATTGGAATTTGTCTTAACCTAAGGCTCGCCCTAGGTTAAGACAAATTCCAAAATTTGTCCAATTCCAATTCGTTGTCACTTGGCTTTTCTTTTGTTTTTTTTTTTTAGATAGCTTAGAATTGTAAATAAGTTGACAGTCAATCTGATGGCCATTAACAGTATTGTAGAATTCAGAGAGTACACTCTGTCACATATACATTCTTCATGCGCTGCCATTCTTCAGATCTTAGTTGTTATGCCTCTGTATCCTGTAATTTCATTGCCATATTTTTGCCTTCACCGAAACACAGAGATGTACAACCGATTCACGGTAGAAACACGAATGGGACAGAGATACCCAAGCAACGGCTTTTGTACAGAATTTCCTTTTTGTATAATATTAGGTAGACCATGGTTTTCCATTACAGGAAAATTAATTGGAAATTTACATTGACAAACTTTTACTGACGGCCAGACATGAACTTAATATTTTTTTATTTTGTACTAGTATTTATACCACTAAGTCACGACACGTTATATTTATATTTTCTTAAAGAAATATTTTTAAAATTGTTGATACTATCGTTGCAGATCATTAACTACCCTCGGCCTGGTTATATCGAAACTTGCGGATCAGTCGTCTGGAAGAACGAATAAAGATAAGTTCGTGCCGTACAGAGACTCCGTGCTCACGTGGCTCTTGAAGGACAACCTGGGTGGGAACAGTAAAACTGTTATGGTTAGTATATATGTATAGAAGTAAAAAGTTTGTAGAGAAATATTTATCTAAGATTTTGTTACCCAAATTAGTATTTTTTATCTTGATAAGTTTATGAAAGCAAGAAGAGGTTAATTTTTCCCCTTTTGATTTAATGAAGAGTAACAATATTCCATTGTTCTATCTATCTATCCATTTAAGAGCTGCGCTCTTGTCGGTGGAGCTCTTGCCACTCACTACGATTTTCAGCGAGTCTCTTCACCTCTTGATACGACACGACACCAACTCCTTCCTTGATCTGCCTGATGTAACTATGTCTCGGTCTCCCTCTCCCCCTTCTTCCTTCTATCTTACCTTCTATTATAATGTTCATAAGTTCGTCGTTCATTCCATTGTTCAATGAACTAAAATAATTTTATTTATAAATTTAACCCCTCGTCAGCAGTAACTATTCCTCTAGGTCTTTATTTAAATATTTCCACGTGTATATTTCTCACGATACAGTTCAGTCGTCTCTTTGTGGAAAAATATCACTCCATATTCTTGTTAACCTTGAGTTCTTTTCTTTTTCCTGTGAGGAGCCCATCTACCATTTTCCAGTTTACAGTTATGTGCTGTGTAATCATCATTTCAGCCTGTCTACTGTTGAACACAACTAAAGGGGTTGGGGGGCGGGGTTGCCAGTAGTTGCCACGCGTGGTAGGCGGATTGGCAACTACAGTTAGGATTTGGAGATGTTTTAAGAGGGACGCTGCTGCCCATCCCTCGCCTTCCCTTAGTCGTTATTTATGACACCCACGGGAAAGGAAGGGTGGCCTATTCTATGCCGGGACCATACAGGACTATGTGCTGTATGTTACCGCATATTTGGAGAAGTTCTACGATTAATTATGTGTGATGATATTACTGTAATCTTCTGTCTTCTTTTAGTTAGATGTTTCAAGACATGCTCTTCCTTATAAATGAGATTTGGTGTGGTTGTAGTCGCCTACTTTGACCCCTTTTAATTTTACGTCATTGATGACTTCCAGGTAGCGACAGTATCGCCAGCAGCAGACAACTACGAGGAGACCTTGTCGACCCTCAGATACGCGGACCGAGCGAAGCGCATCGTCAACCACGCAGTCGTGAACGAGGACCCGAACGCGCGCATCATCCGGGAGCTGCGACAAGAGGTTGAAGCTCTCAAGGAAATGTTGAAGCATGCCACTGTAAGTGACATGGAATATTAAATGTGCTTGATGATCAAATTAATCTATTTATAATATGTTTATGATATCGCACGTAGCTGACAAAATGAGACAGTAACATTTGTTCTCTTGTTATTTTTTATTCGTGCTAAAACGTGTCTATTGATTTATTCGTATGTAGGTTTGAAACTTTGGTAATTAAAAATCTACAGCGCCGTTCGTGATATCCCTGATTCATGATTAAATAATTTATTTGCTAAAGACATCATTATCGGAACATTTACCGAAATGTATGTTTTAAAATAATAATATAATAGTAAATAATAGTATTTATATTTGGTCTGTATATAATGAATCCTTTATACTTTTCAGGGGTCGCCTGTTGGTGAAGATGTACATGAACAGTTAGCGCAGAGCGAGCATCTAATGAAGGAAATGTCCAGAACGTGGGAGGAGAAACTAGTTGAAACTGGTATGTTTCTCTCTCTTATAACTTTTACTCTATGGTTATTTAATAGCTGTATTGTAAAAGTTGAAATTTGCTGATCAGTTTTTCTAATATAATCACAAAGTAATAATCCCTTTCTTATACTTTTAACTTTGGTGCAAGTAATTTAATTTTAATTTTGGCAAAACAAAGGCTGTACCAGAATCTAACAAAATTATCTGAAACATCCTTATTACTCAATTATTGCAGCTCAGAATAATGGTAGTCTTGTATAAAATTCTGCAGTGATTTGTCAATCAGTAAAATTAAGTATATCTATTTTTAATTTTAGGGAGAATACAAAGCGAACGTCAGCATGCCTTAGAGAAGATGGGAATAAGTGTACAAGCGAGTGGGATCAAAGTGGAGAAAAACAAATATTACCTGGTCAACTTGAATGCGGACCCCTCGCTCAATGAACTGCTCGTGTATTATTTGAAGGTTTGTAATTCCAATTCATTCAAGAAACTTCAATTAATGTGGGTTTCTTGAAATATATTGTATTGCTGCTATACAACAGGCAATTCAAGGGGATAAATACTGGTGATTTCAACAGGAATTGAACATATAATTTCTGTTGCTAGCAATCTGCTTTTTTAATGGATGAAGATGGAGTAATGTGTCTGTCTATAATAACGGTATACAATGGCGGGGCATTGGTAGAGAATTTAAATAATGAGTATGAAGGCAGGACAGTAGGCCCGTCACACGAATTAACTACAGGTTTCTAGAGGGAACCGCGTAGAACTCGACCAGACAGAGTATATTGCTAGCAATGGGGATTAACATCCCTATCATTCCATACCCCCTCGCTAGCAGTGGGCTAAATCACATGTTTAAAGTCATCAGAGGTCTCCTCTCTGTTATCAAGCAATTTGTTCGCTTACTGTATTCTAATTTAAAGGGTGAGATAACTATGGTACTTTCGCTTTTCAGGATCGAACCCTAGTCGGGGCGGACAGTGCAGCCGACATCCAGCTATCAGGGCTCGGTATCCAGCGGGAGCACTGTTTGCTACTGGTTGAAGGTGGTGGGTTGTATATGGAACCGCTCGGTGCGGCGAGATGCTTCGTAAATGGAACACCCGTAGTCTCGAGGGTCAGACTCGGCCACGCGGACAGGATACTGTGGGGGAACCATCACTTCTTCAGGGTTAATTGTCCGAAGGCTACTGGTAAGATCTTATATCTGTTGTAATTAAAGTAATTTAAGTAATTTTTTTTACAATTGTTTTAATTCACCGTTTAAAAGTTTACACAGTTGCATGCAATATATTTGGGTTGAGCCATAAATAGGTTGCATAAAACCATTTAAAAACTAGCGTCTCGTCTCGACTTTGCACGTTTTTTTTTTAAATAAAATACAGCGTATTTTACTCGCTGATAATATGTAGTTTTCTATAAGTGAAAGAATTTTTAAAATCGGTACAGTATTTTTTGAGTTTTTTACAAATTAAACCATTACAAGAAAGATCGAATCTTACCTTATTTAATTTTAGTTTACATAAAAATTCGAAACATAATAATTTTATTTGATATTTATGTACTTAATGCAAATAAAGTTTTTGTTTTTAAATTTTATTATTATAAATTTTTATTTAAATTTAAAGGCTTTAGAGCGATTGTAAAGGAAGGTTTTTTTTTCAATTTGATTTTAATGACTAATATACGAGCATATGTATAGCTAAAATAAGCTATATAAATCTTGTTTTTACTATGTTATATACAATAGAAAGTATTAAACATCAATTTAAAATTGTTACAGCGGCAGCATCAGAGCCGCAGACGCCTGCGCAGCCCATCGACTACAACTTCGCGCGCGATGAAATAATGCTCAACGAGCTAAGCAACGACCCCATACAGACAGCCATATCACGTTTAGAGAAACAGCACGAGGAGGACAAGCAAGGTATGCGCATGTATATGAAATTATAACCAGCTAAATAAATTAAATAGAATAAAAAAAAATCTTTATGATTTAAGGTATTTATTTACACAACAAAATACATAGTTTTACAAATACAAATATGTATATTACAAATGACGGTAGAAGTTAAACATTACACTTCAAAAGGTACACAATAAAGAACAAATTCTTTCTACCTATAAATATACTTTTCTCAAAAATGCTTGGAAATGTGAGCATTATTTTAACAATCTTCTTCGAGATAAATCAAAATTGCCGTACTGGCTAGATATATGCGGGCAGCGGCCGGCAAAAGTTGTTATGAAAATCCATTTATGTCGTGTTTTGCGGCCAGATAAATTACTATGTAAACTCATATCAGTACTGTAATTTAAAAACGGAATGACCTTTTACTTTGAAACATGGCTACCAAGGAGGTAACTAATATAAGGTTTTATTTAAATTTCGAACTGACTTGCAAATAGAAAGTTGTTTATTGAAAAAAAAAATAAAGGAACATTACGGCGTGTGAAAAATTATTATTGTTCGTTATTCGTCATTGAACTTAAAAAGTAAAATTGTGTTTTTGATTTCCGCGCTATGTTTGAGAAAATTACTATACACGCCTTGGCCAGAACTAGGCATTGATCGACTCACGTATGTGTTCCTCGGCTACGTCTTGGCCCACATTTGCACGTTCGTCCATCAATGCCTCGGTTGCTGGCCGCTGCAGTAATGTACTATACTTTACTAATATACGCATGTCTTATCCGCGTCATATAGTATAATAAGAACACTTGATATATTTATATCCATCTTTCTTTGCAGTCTACAATTACAATTATTAATATTTAAGTATTATATTTTAATTGATATTATAAATGTATTTTAATTTACGTAGGAATTATTGAATTATTTTTTGTCCCTTTTATTAAATGTGATTGACTTTTTTTTTTCAGTTGCATTAGAGAAACAGAGGCAAGAGTACGAGAGACAATTCCAGCAGCTGAGAAATATTCTATCGCCATCAACACCATATCCACCATACTCTTACGATCCCCTAAAATTGGGTAAGAAGTTATTTTGTGATTTTAGTTGCATGAGATATTTATTTTGATTACGTTATGTTAGCTCTGGAGGCGACATTGATCCATAAAACCAAACTGTACGTATGTATACCATGTACACACCAAGTATGGCAATGTCGCAGTTATCAGTTAATTAAAAAAAAATGTTTCTGATTTATTATTTATAAAGCGCTCTGTTAGCGAACTAATTCATTAATCATGCAAAAAATATTCTTAATAAACTGGAGTTTGAAAGTTTTTAGCTAACTAAAAACTTTTCAGTGTATTTGAAAAATTCTGAAGCAAAACATCAAATAGGTGCAAAGCTTTTAATAGTAGATTAATATGAAATGTTATATGGTTAACATTTTATTTCATTAGCAGGGCACTTTTTAAATAATCAGCCAGAAACATTAAAAAAATGTTATATTGTTTTTGAAAATTGTCAGATAATTACGACTGTATCTGTATAGTTCTGTTAGTAGAACAAAAAGGTTTGAGTAATCCATTTTCTTCTATTAGTAGAACAAATCGGAAAACCCAGCTTTGTTAGTAAGAAAGAACGGCGAGGGAAATTATAATACTTCGATAGGATAAATTTTTGAACGCTCTTAACTTTCTTTGGGGTGGCGTGTGTGATAATATGGGGTTTCAAAACATGGGCTACATACAATGCGTGTAGGTGTGCGTTCTGCTTTAAGCAGTGTTGTAAATCAATGATATTTAGATATTTATCTGTATATAGCTATGCTTACAGATTGTTTTGGATTGAAAAGTGAAATTAGGTAGTAAAATACTGTGTAAGGTTGCATAATATTTCAGTTCCTAGAGAAGGCAACATATAAGGGTTATTGTTCATACATGACTCTTATTACTTTTCATCTATATATATTACAGTATGTGGTATATAATATATATTTCTGAATTTGCAGGCAAAATGTCGGCCTGCACGCCCACGACAGCGGCGCGTGTGGAGCGCTGGGCGGCGGAGAGAGATGATACGTTCAAACGGTCGCTCGGCCGTCTCAAGGCAGACATATTGCGCGCCAATGCACTCGTGCAGGAGGCTAACTTCCTGGCTGAGGAGATGCGCCGCAACACGCGCTTCAGTGTCACGCTGCAGATACCGCCGCAGAATCTCAGCCCCAACAGGAAGGTAAATAAACCGAGGTTTTTCCAACAGACTACAGCATGGGGTTCTTCAAAAGAGGTTTCTTCAGGGTCGGCAATGCACGCGTAAAGCTCTGGTATTGCAGGTATTCATAGGCTACGGTAACCACTTACCATCAGGTGGGCCGTATGCTTGCTTGCCACCTCAGTGGTATTAAAAAAAAAAAAACTCATGCTGTTTAGTAGGGAACAATATCTGTTGTTATATTTTTGTTATCTTGTTTTGGTTCATCTATATATTATATATACTCTGACGCAAAAAAGTCTGTCCGTACTGGGACTGTAATCAAATAAATGGTCTTATTTTAAACGTGAATAAAATTGTAATAAACAATTTTTGGAATAAAAATTATAGAGGATTTAATCTTAATATATAAAAATCCCGTGTTCGTTCATAATCTCCGGACCTGCTTAGTGTGTATTGTTTTATTCAATTTGAGAGGAAGGATAATTTTTATTCTGATAAGATTCTACAATATATGTATAAGAATCTGGTATTCGGCGGTATAAGAACGTTTTGTTTATAAGTGCAAAATTTAGGGCGGCAGTAGTCACTTACCATCAGGTGAGCCATATGCTCGGTTGTTTCTATATTACAAAAAAAAAATAGTAGACGGCTGGACGCATTAGATCTATATTTGGAATGTTTATTGAAATCCAAATAAGGTTCTTATGATGAGGACAATTTAAAAAAAAATGCCAAGAAAAATGTAAGGCCATTTTTTTTCTATATAATCAGTTTTTGGGTGCCAATGTAATAAATATTTCAAATAAATATTGACGTTAAATACATAATATGAAAATATGAGTGTTGTTTGCAGCGCGGCGCGTTCGTGTCGGAGCCGGCGATCATGGTGCGGCGCGCGGGCCGCGGCGGCCAGGTGTGGTCCATGGAGAAGCTCGACAACAAGCTCGTCGACATGCGCGACATGTACGACGAGTGGCGGCGCACGCGCTCCGCCGCGCACCACGACCACTCGCCGCAGGTAGCCCGCTCTCTCTCTCTCTCTTATTTTCTCTCTCTCTTACTCTCTCTCTCTCTCTTATTTTCTCTCTCTCTTACTCTCTCTCTCTCTTACTCTCTCTCTCTCTCGCTTGCTTACTCCCTCTCTCTTACTCTCTCTTACTTTCTCTCTCTTACTCTCTCTCTTACTTTCTCTTATGCTCTCTCTTTCTCTCTTACTCACTCTTACTCTCTCTCTTTTTCTCTTACTCCCTCTCTCACACTCACTCTCTCTTACTACCTCTCCCTTACTCCCTCTCACTTTCTTACTCCCTCTCTCTCATTCTTTCTCACTCTCTCACTCTAACTCTCTCGCTCTCTCTCTCACTCACATTCTCTCTCTCTCACTCTCTCACTCGCACTCTCTTACGTGTCACATTATTTTATATGTATATTCTTTTTTGTACTAAGAATTACACAGTAATAATAAGAAATGGACCCATTTTAGGCAGAGATAAACTTATCTCTAAAAGATGTGTCCTCCAGTCAACCCAACACAGTGGCATAGGAAGTAGTGGCAGCAATAGTGCAAAACAGAAATCTTAATAACAATAATAAATATGAATTAATTTTATAATATTTGTAAGGAAATTTTGGCATTGTAGTTTATTTTACTACTTAATCATATTTTTTTACAAATTACGAACCTTTGGCTTGTAATTTCTTGACTGTTATCATAATAAAAAGGCACATTTGATTTAAAGAGTAAGCAAATTAGGAGATTACTATGTACAACTTTTGACAACGTAAGGAAAACACAGACTGCATCCTTTTAAAATACTATAATAATATTTATTTATTTTATTTAGAATTTTTTACAACAGTTACAAAGATAAGTAACATAGTAAATATTATATAATGTAATGTAGATTAATATGCATAATTATGTACATATAAATATAATTTTTCTTTATGTAAATAAAGGAAAATTTTCATTTCTCAGGAGCCCAGCGAAAAGGCCCTCGATCCATTCTACGAGTCGCAGGAGAATCACAACTTGATCGGTGTGGCTAACGTGTTCTTGGAGGCACTGTTTCACGACGTCACCCTGGACTACCACACGCCCATCATCAGTCAACAGGGAGAAGTCGCTGGTCGACTGCAGGTCAGTCACCAGTGGACACTTCTTTTTTATGAGTCAATCGCAAATAGCGAAATTTTTTTATCCAAAACTTTTCCAAATGGATTGAAATTTGTATGAAATAATTGCAAGACATGCAAATATGTGAACGGCAGTTATTGTATGAGTGAATGAATGAGTGAAAGTTTGTACAATGACAGTCACAATATAGAACTAATTACACTTGAAATTTAAACAAGAACTTATATGTTACATGAACGCTTTTGTAATGTAGCACGTCACGATAATGTACGATTTTTTCGTTACAAGAAACTAGAATGTATGTAATTGTGTGGAGATGCTTAAAATTTTTCACAATGATATAGTGGAAATTTACAGAAATTTAAAAACCACGTATCACGAGAGTAACGTACGTTATACGATATGGTACTATAGTAAATCTCATTCAAAGATATGAATACAAATTGTTTCAACGCTGAGTCGACACGATATTTTCAGTTCATTATGGGATGGGTATATGGGATATTTCACCATAGAACCGATGTAAAATCTAAATTAATTTTCATTTACATTTTAGGTGGAGCTAAGTCGTGTGGGAGGACAGTTTCCACAAGACAGAATTTGCGAGGCGGCCTCGGACAGTTCGGGAGATATGAGAGATGACGATGATCCCGCTGATACTGCCTCTCAACAGGTATTATTTTGTTACGTATTAATATATTATATACTGTAGATACCCCAGTATTTTACAACAAATTTATATAGGCTTGTAAAATAAAAAGACTGATTGTGACTAAGTTAAAACAGGACCAACATTATAAACCCTATTGACAGTAAAAAGCATTCTCAAAATTGTACATATCATATCTCAAAATTATACAGTGAACGATCTATATAAGCAACTCATTGTAACCAATTTAAATAAAAAAGTTTCTTATTGGGTAAAGTTGCTTATAGGGGAAAAAGGAGTGTAAAAATTCTTACCATCGGGAAAATATTTTTATTTATTTCTTTTACTAACTAAACTGAGTAGAATAAATAAAATATAAAGAATGTTGTTTATAGAGAGGTTGCTTATATAGAGCATTCACTGTATTTAAAATTATACAGGTGAATTGAGAACACTTATTGGAAATTGGTAAAAACATTAACTTTACTGGAACATATTATTCACAAAGTGTAAGGAACAAGCAGTGGTCCAACTTGGTCTTTTCTAGGTCTTAGTTATTTCCCAAACGATTATATGACAGTTTGGGATATATGGTTCAGTATAAATGTGTCTATGGGACGACTGGCGGGAAAGAGTTCTTTGGAGTGTAAATGAGCATATTAATTTATTGATCCCATTCGTGTTTCTGCTGTGAAGCATTTATGCTTGAATGGCTGTGTTTTGGTTTCGAGGGTGAGATATGGCACAGAAATTACGGGTAATGCATGAGAGCTACTATATGCTTTCTGGAGCATTATGAATCATTCATATATACAAGTGACGGTTACCATTTTAAATCAGGTGAAGCAAGTGAACTAAGTAATATAAGAAACTGTCTGTGGCCGCAGGTGACGGTCCGCGTGGTGATAAAGCAGGCGACGGGTCTGCCGCCGTCGCTGTCCCACTTCGTGTTCTGCCAGTACTCGCTGTGGGGCGGCGGCGAGCCGGTGGTGGTGCCGCCGCACGTGAGCGCCGACACGCCGCCGCCCGCGCCCCCCGCATCCCCCGCACCGCCCGCAACACCCGCGCAGCCTCTCTCCCCTCGACACCAGCCGCAGGTCACCTTCCGCTTCGACCACCGGCAGGACTTCACTGTGCCGCTCACGGAAGAGTTCATTGAACACTGTGCCGGTGAGTACAGGACTGATACATGTCATTCTTAGATAGATACTCTTTGTTGTTTCCTCCAAAAGATTACAATGGTAAACTTATTATAAATATAAACAATTACATGAAATGATCGCAGTGAGAAAGCAATGGGCGACGTTATCGCTAACAGCGATCTCTTCCAGGCAACCTTTGGGTGGAGAGGAGTAATTATAAACAGTTTGATCGGAGGCACAATGAAATTTTATTATTTCTTAATATGCAGATATGATACATGTAATAATGTAAAATATATATCCCTCATTATATACACTTATATATATACACACATACATACACATACTTAGATTATATAGATAAAGCATGAAGCCTAAAAAACGACTCGACTTTTTGTTAGCTAATTGTCAAATTAGCTGACTCGTTTTTTTATCAGTGTTCTATATACTTACGCATAAAATGTATCTTGTTGTATTATTTAGTAAATAAAATGAGTGTTTACGCATTAAAAAGATGCAGAAATTATAAGACAAAATAAATATAATAGAAGTTATAATAAAATTACTCATAATTATTTATCACGCAAAATTGTATGAAAAACTTGATCCGTTTTTCTCGAAGCATTTGTATGGAGACTATCTATAAAATCTAAAATCTCATTAACGGTGAAAGACCTGCATACTGTATATGCAGTGTCCAAGTCTTTCGCTTCGACTGCTGGTAGGACATCAATTTGTCGCTTATAGAGAAATTGAACGTTGATTACTGTCCCTCGAGTTTTATCCGGATATAATGTGTTGATACTTAGAAGTCAATATTAATTATTACCTTAAGGTTGTCTTGAAAAGATTGTTCTCAGCAATAACACCGCCTTACTGTACTTATACAATTGTATCGTTGTGTTTGTAAATTGTTTTGCTTATTTCCTATATTGTATAATGCAAATAAAGTATACTCATTCATTCATTTAATTGTTGTCGGCAGAGGGCGCGCTATCGATCGAAGTGTGGGGCCACCGGTCGGCGGGGTTCAGCCGCGGGCGCGGCAACTGGGAGGTGGAGCAGCAGCAGCTGGCCAAGGCGCGCTCGCTGGCCGACCGCTGGGCCGAGCTCACGCGCAAGATCGAGCTCTGGGTCGAGATACACGAGCTCAACGACCAGGGCGACTACGCGCCCGTCGAGGTCAGAACTGCACTGCCTTTGCACACATTTCCACACGTGCATATTGCTAGCTCCTCATCGTTCATCTTGGTGATGTTCGTCCTGATGGAAAGTGGTAACCGTCGCCTATAGACAATGAGCAGTACCATGGACATAATAGAGTATACTGTTTCGCCCATGATACTGCCCATGCGTTGCCATTCCTGAGGACTCAGGTGTTATTCCTCTGTACCCTGTAAATTCACTGCCATATCCCACCCTTCAAACCGAAACACAGCAATGCAAACATAACTGCTTCACGGTTGAAACACGAATGGGACAGAGGTGCCCAAGTAATCGACTTTTGTACAAAGTCTCCCTCTTTTATCCTTCATCGCCTTCACATACCACGAAGGTGGTTTAGAACTTAGTGACGTCAGATAATACCACACACACACACTATATTAAATTTTCATGATCACACATCAACACTTTTGTACCTTCACACTTTTATATCATGTTTACATCGCTAGAGCTTTTGTACCTCTACATGTACTTCTATTCATCTCTACTCCTTTATATACCTCCATATGTTGCCACATCTACGCTTCTAGAAATCCATACCTTCACATCTCTATACTGCAGATCTACCAGTAGATGTAGATGTAGTATTTGATGTTTTTATATAGAACGACAGTGGCAAACAAGCGTACAACCTGTCTAATGGTAAACAGTCATTATAGTGATCGTTAGGTTACAGCCTATAGACGCCTGTCACGTCTATCAGAGATGTCACGTTCGCGTTGGCGGCATTAAAGAAACCGTAATGTACCGGAGGAAAAGGGATTATTAGCAATGGAGTTTGACAGCCCCATTGCTAGCAATATGCCCTATTAGGTCGACCTCCTCGTGGTTCCCCCTGGAAACCATCGTGAACAATTCTTGTAGAATTCGTCACAATGGGCCAACTTTCCTACTTCATCGTCACCTAATATCCTTCACTTGTGCCCCGCCGGCATATCCCGATAGCGCAGGCGAGGTTACCATTCCATTATCACCCATTAAAAAAAAAATCTTAATGTACCAATATAATTGTTTTACAAGTAAAATTCTCGTTCGTTATTTTAGGTGTTACAACGCAACGACATGGTAACGGGTGGCGTGTACCAACTACGTCAAGGTCAGCAGCGGCGGCTGGCGGTGCGGGTGCGGCCCGCCCACAACTCGGGCACACTGCCCATCATCTGCCAGCACATCGTCAGCGTCGAAGTCGGATCCGTTACTGTCAGGTATCAGTCCGCTGAATTGACAGAAAACCAATTCTCGTTTTGAATTACTATTAATATAATAATACCATGGTACTGCTCATGTCTATAGGCGACGGTTACCATTTTCCATCAGGTAGGCCGTCAGCTTGCTTGCCGTTCTAAGTTGTATAAAAAAAAATATATATATTTTTAAAGTGTATGTTAATTTTTGAGTGATTGCTATGTATATCGTCATTATCATCATATTAGCCCGTAACTGTCCACTACTGAACATAGGCTCCCTCCATAAAAGAGGGTTTTGTCAGTTGCCACGTTTGGCAGGTGGCTTGCAGTTGTTTTAACAGCAACGCTACTGCCAATCCCTCGAGCATTAAGTTCCCTTAGTCGCCTCTTACGACACCTACGAGAAAGCAAAGGGTGGTTCATTCTATGCAGGGAACACAGCATGCTATGTATATGTATAAATTTTATGAACTTCCCATGTTTGTCGTTTCCGGTAATTGTTACATATAATACTGCTAAACGAATCTATTTTGTCGCTTTTTGTAAGAACTTGTTAATAGTTTAATTTGTAATCCTAGACTATGACTATTTATACTAGTGTAAGCCTAGTTTATTTTGTATAAATAAATATTTATTTATTGAACACTTTATTGCACCAACATAACAGGATTTGTTGAACAATTTTCAATACGTATAGTGTAGTACAAAAGGCGGTCTTATTGCTAAGCAATCTCTTCCAGACAACCTTTGGGTAGAAGGATTATTTATTATAATACTTATTTTTATTCATTGTTTCAGATCGCGACTACAAAAACCGTTAGATTCGTACCAAGAAGAAGACTTGGCTGTGCTACGTGAGAGGTGGAGCGACGCGCTGGCCCGGCGACGGCAACACTTGCATGCACAGTTACAGGTAATCATCGTCATCATGATTTCCATCCTATTGATGAACATCGGCCTTTCCATAGTTTCCTGCTAGGAACCTTACTTGCATCTACACTCTGTAACATTTGAGATCGTCATTTCAAGTCAGTGTCTAAAAAATTTTATTACAAACTGTGGTGTATGTTTTTTTTTATAATGGATGAAAATAGAATGGTAACCTCCAATATACTAATTATTGATTTATACTGATGACTGATGACATCAGTTTTTTTTATACAACTTAGAATGGCTAACAAGCTGACGGCCCACCTGATGAAAAGTGGTAACTGTCGCCTATAGACATGAGCAGTACCATGGACATAACAGAGTATCTTGTTTCGCCCATGATACCCCCCATGCGTTGCCATTCCTGAGGACTCGGGTGTTATTCCTCTGTACCCTGTAAATTCATGCCAATTTGTTGGTTGGCCTATCGTGATGAATTTATCACGAATTAACCACAATGGTTTCCATAAAAGAACGCATGTAGGTCGACTTCGTAGGGAATTGTCTGTAATAGGGTCATTACACTCCGTATAAATATTTGTTTTTTTTAAATATGTTATTAATTTTCTTTTTTAGAAACTAGTAAATATGTCGCCGTCTATGAAGAGCGAACGTGACATGGAAAGAGAGCAGTCACTCGTCGAACAGTGGGTCTCTCTAACTGAGGAGAGAAATGCTGTATGTTATAATTTGTAGTTATTTAATAAATAAGACATACTATTTAAATAGGTTTTGTATTTTAGGGATTAAATTCTCTTCTAATTGCTAGTATTATAAATATGTAAGTGCGTTTTATTGTTACCTCTTAGCATCCAGAACGGTTTAACTAATTACTATAAAATTTGGTATACACACACTATATGGGTGAAAAAAGACATAGGTTACTTTTTATCCCGAAAACACGAGCGAAGTCGCTGGTAAGGACTAGTTCAAAATTTGTTGTAATTAACGAAGGTCTAATAATATTTGACAGGCATATAGTAACGACAGTTTATTAATTATTATTTGTTTTCTTTTCATTTGTAGTTTTTGAATTTATGGTAACCTCGCTTGAGCTAATGATGCTGGCAGGTTTATAGTGATAGATGAAATGAAATCAGAGGGCTTACCATGAAATATTTTCCGGAATTTCGGGACCGAAGGAAACAAAAATTTTATGTTAAAATTACATAATACATACCGTTTAAAAATGTTAAAATATCGTTGTTTTGGAATATTATGGTAGGATTTATGATGAACTTAACATTTTAAAGCATCATTCACTGAGACGATTTCAGCACGAACAAAAACACGAAGTTGAATCCGAAAATTCGGAATTTCATTTCATGATAGACCCTCAGATCACTTGGCAAATTGAATTTACCAAGAAATAACCATGATGTTACCAAGAGGGGATTAAATTTTAAATTTACTTAACTATATATTGCTAACAATAATCTCATTGCTAGCGATCTATAATGTGGTAGATTTCTTATACATTTTCTAACTATACTCTCCAACCTAACCACATAACCTCTCTGGTATTGTTACTAACAAGTTACTAATGGTACCAGAAACATGACTTTACCCTCAGAGAGTACAAGGTGCATATTAAAACATCACGTTATGCTGTAGGTGTTGGTACCGAGTCCAGGCAGTCCTATTCCAGGCGCGCCGGCTGCCTGGAGTCCTCCGCCCGGCATGGAGCAACATATACCCGTGCTATTCCTCGACCTTAACGGTAATATCCCAGTTAAAATTGTTATTGTCTCTTTCAATAGACCTTAAGTAAAAGGTAACGAAGTTTTGTTAAAGTTATCATGAAAATACTCTTTAAGTGAAACTAGTAATAAATCGATTGATCAATTGTTCGTTTGTTTGTATTTCCATTATGTTTTATTTAATTAAAATATATTATACAATATGGCGATTATTAGAATTATTTAACCATAAAAACAATTATTATTACATATTTAGTTTGAATGTCAATCTAACAGAATGTCTTTTTAGGATGAACGACACAAAAGCAATAAATTAATGTGATGGTTTCAAAATATGAAGATATATACTTGTAAATGTTAAATGAAGAAAGTAAAAAAAAAACTCTTTAAACAGACGCTTTATGCTTTATATATCTTATATATAATGTTAAATTAAATTTATTTGCTTGTTCTTAGCGCCATAGTTATGAAGTTTTATATACTTGTATATATATTGAATGGGACGGAGAAAGCCAGGACTACTATTTATCCTTGTCACGCGAAAGAAGTCGTAAGTAAAAATTAATAAATCCATTCAAACTTTATAGCGGACGACCTAACAACACACCCATCCGGCGAGGAGGTAACAGTGGCCGGATTGCACTCAATATTACCCAAAGAGCACGGGAACAAATTCTACGAGCTACAAATACTGCACCATCACGAGAAGGACGTGTCAGCTATCGCCTCATGGGACTCCTCCATACACGACTCGCAGTACCTCAACCGGATGACAGAAGGTTACCCATCTATTTTCTTAATTGTGTTATATTCTGCTCCATAAAAACGTATAAGCTTGAAAAAAATATTGACTAGTTATGTCACAATCTTATCTCAAAAGTCATTTACCGACGAACCGTGAAATGTTTCGAAGGGACATTAGATAAGATAGAAGGGACATTATAAAAAAAATGCATTTTAAATTCAAACAATCTAAACATTCTGCCTACCCTAATGGGAGACGGGCGTGACAGATATGTATGTATGTATGTACAATCTAAACATTTGAATTTAGAATGCGATTTTTTTGTGCTAATACAAATGACAAATAGGCATTCGGCATGTCTGGTGGTAACCGATTACCGTAGTTTATAAATGCTTATAACATCAAGGATGTCGCGCGCGCATTGCTAATCCAAATGCATATCTTTTAGTATGTTTTGTTTTGTAGCGAGCAGTAGTTTGTATTTGATTTGTAAAGTGTGACTATTTGTATAAGAGAACATCCAATACGGCAATTTGATACCTCGCCAGATCGTCACACGAAGAACGAGCGGTCCGGGAATGGAAAAATCGATTCTTGTAGGGTTGATGTATAATAGTAAATTAAAAATTACTAGCAATGCGTTTCTATTTTTCACGGATATTAAACCATTGAATTTTTCTACTTATACAAAAGTTTAATTAGAATGTATTGTATTTATATATCTAAAATAAAACACAGATTCACATGTCGTTTTTCTGCAATAATCAAATTAACTTTTTCAGCCAACGAACGCGTGTACCTTATATTAAAGGTGACGGTGAGGCTGTCACACCCCGCCCCCATGGATCTCATACTTAGGAAACGATTAGGGTTAAACATATATAAACGACAGAGTTTTACAGACAGGATACGGAAGAAAATTGTGAGGTAAATGGAATTTTTATATATTCTTTATTTGATTGCTATAAGAATATTAATAATTATTTTATATTTGTAAATTGGTGGTGGTTACTACATAAAATGCGTCATCCATTCCTTTCCCGTAAGTGTCGTAAGAGGCGATTAAGGGAATTCAATGATTGAGGGATGAGCAACAGCGTCCATTTTAAAACGTCATGAAAGCCTAACTGCGGATGTCAACCCGCTCTCAAGCATGGCAACTACTGGCAGAACTCTCCAAGGGCAAGGGCCTATTTTCAGTAGTGGCCAATTAACGGCTGATGGTTTGCAAATTGGTAAAATATTTTAATACAATTATTCCTACTAATATTATAAAAGTGAAAATTCGTAAATATGTTTGGATGTTTGTTACTGAAAAGTAACAGAATCTTTACAGAGATTTGAAAAGAATAATTGTTGAGTTTCTTGCCAGTTATTCTCGGCAGATAACAATATTCCGAATCCAGTAGTAAAATAAAAAAAAAATGACGATTTATAAGAGCTCTATATAAAGATGATTTATATTTTATTCAGTTCAATCACGCTTAAATAAATAAATGCATTCCATCAAGGATCATTCCTTTGTTTTCACGTATCGAGAACTCCTGTGCTAAATTTCATGTTACTATCTACGTATTTCGTAAATATATTTTACTGGTCTATGGACCACCGGTTCAGAAGAGATAATATTAATGTTACCAGTTATGTTCTATGTTCTTTTAGGACAGATCAACTGACTCAAACTGGTGTGACATACGAAGTAGTGTCAAATATTCCAAAGGCGTCGGAGGAGTTGGAGGAGAGGGAGAGCCTGGCGCAAATCGCCGCCACCGGGGAGGAGGCTAGCGCTGCGGACGGCGAAACTTATATTGGTATGATTTATATTGTATCGTATTATAATATCACATCTCATCATATTACATTGTATCACAATATGTCATATCACATCTCATCACGTCATAACATGTCATATTATATCACATAATGTTATATCACGTATATTCACAGCTAATAGTGCTGGTGTAATTTTACTTTTTTTTTTATACAACATAGAATGGCAAACAAGCTGACGGCCCACCTGATGGAAAGTGGTAACCGTCACCTATAGACATGAGCAGTACCATGGACATAACAGAGTATACTGTTTCGCCCATGATACCCCCCATGCGTTGCCATTTCTGAGGATTCAGGTGTTATTCCTATGTACCCAGTAAATTCACGCCATATCCCACCCTTCAAACCGAAACATAGCAGTGCAAACACAATTGCTTCACGGTTGAAGCACGAATGGGACAGAGGTACCCAAGCAATCGACTTTTGTACAAAGTCTCCCTCTGGTTTTTTTTATTCGGCTGTGATTTTTTGTACATGTATGTTAGGCTATATATTCTCCAACAATGTAGTGGTGTTATATTTTTTATAAAAAACAACGTACTCCCTTGTTTTTTACAAGACAATACACACATGCTACGGGTGATAAGTGAGGTCTAATATGACTACACCTAGGTGAAAGAAGCCATGTTGTTGAGTAATATACTAATATTGTATTTATACATTATATTTATTTACAAGATAGATTTTACTGCGTTTTCCGCTTTTTCAACCTATTGTTTAATACAATAATTAAATATGGTGTCCAACAAAAATAAAAAACAATTTTAATTGTGACAAAACCAGTTATTTTGTTTTAAAAACCAAACTACACGATCGATTTTCATAAAATTTCTCTGGGATCAAACTGTAAGTATATCCTTTCAAATACAAAAATAATTTTCCAAATCGGTTTAGAACTAGCGGAGTTATGAGGTAACAAACAAAAACAAAATACAACCGTATTGAAAATCTTCTTTCTTTTCTAAATAGATCGAAAAGTTAGAATCAATCGGAATTAGAATCTATTTTTTAAGTTTAAAACTCCTTACAGAAAAATACACACGTGGCGTGAGCGCGGTGGAAAGTATCCTGACCCTGGACCGACTGCGGCAGAGCGTCGCCGTCAAGGAGCTGGAGCAGTCTCGTGGACAGCCCATCACAATGAGGAAGACCGCCTCCGTGCCTAACTTCTCACAGGTACCTTCATTTTTGTTTTTTACTATAATTGTAGTCACGCTAAATATATTATAATATGTATAACTACAGTTTATTTCAATAGAATTTAATGGAAAAATATCGTACATATAATTATCGTTGGAAATATCACAGTTATTGTCTTTAAATGAAATGAGTAACTAATCGAGACGTTCACTTAATTAATCAATTTTGATTTGTTGGATACTATTGTATATTAGCAAACTGTTTTATGGTTTGGTCATTTATTATAATTCGTTTATTTACGTTTTAAGTTCTATTGAAATAAATTGTATTATTGTATTGTATTGTCTCACTCTCGGGCCATTATTGCGTACCATGTTTTAATAAAATTATTTTTCTATACTTGGTACAATTCGTAAACTAATATATATATTATAATAAAATTAATATTTTACATAAAAAATATACAATATTTTTAAATTTATATTTAACTATTTGTTTATTTTGTTTTCATAGCAAGATATGTTAAAATTGTTTACTAATTGTGTCAAGTGTGAAAATATAGATTATATTTATTTAATTTTCACTTATTTATTTATTCAAATGTAGCTGTAATAATTTTTCACAATAAAAAATTAATTTAACACATCAAATCTAAATGTAGCCACATCACAATTAGGCGTTAAAAATGCATTAAATTAGACGCAGATATGGCCCGAGTATTACATAATATTGTGTGTTAATTTATTATATACTTATATATATATTGCTAAGTGTATAATATAAAATTGAATATGGTGTTTTGTTGATGCTACTGAGTCAATAAGAAATACAAAGGAAAATAGACTGTATTACTAAGTGATAGGGTATAAATTTAATTATACCTTGTCCATTTTATTATTTTCTCAATGAAAGCTTATAATATAAATTGTGATTTGAAAACTATAACAGAAACATGAATACAATAATTTTAATTAATCAATAAATATCTATTACTGTACGGTTTGAACATTCATACATTCATTTAACACACATACATTCTAAAGAGCTGTTATAGAAAAAAATTAAATGGACGAAGTGTAATGTAGAAGGACACTATAGTCTAAATCTCGAAGTAGTGTTAAAGAACGCACATAGACGCGTTTCCACCACGAAAATAATCACAAAATAATTATTCTATGACTTGAAAAGTAACATCAAGTAAGAGTCCTTACATACAGCGCAGATAATATTATTTTATTTTGTAGTTTATTAAGGCCAATGGATGCAAGTTAAACTCGAAGTACTTTAGGTATTTTATATTAGACGTTTGTCGTGATATTATAATAGTAATTTATTTGATAGCAAACGTCTGCTCGCGCTAATCTATTTTGAAAATACCATTGGTAATGCTATTTTTATCAATTACTTCGACATATGTACTGAAGCCAATTAAGCTCTATTGCTTTTGATTTAAGACCTAAAATTGAGTCGCAGTGAACGCTCAATTGTGGCATCTATTCGAATATGGATCTATGGTGACTTGTACATAGTATTGTCTGCGCTGTGTGCATACATCATTACTAACAAGCTTTTAATCACAATAATAATTAGTAATACTAAAATTTGCATAGTAAATATTGTTATCAAGTTACAAGCTAATCAGTGTTGCCACTAACATAAATAGTAGATCACTTGTATTAAATTTGTGAATTTAATATTTTGTATATAAACATTGGACTAGCTGCTGGGTCACACACTGGAATATTAGTTACTAAACGTATATCATTTGTTATTCAGTATGAACATACTCGTACACGCTTATTTGTGTTGAAATTTTAAATGTTTTATGTATTCGGAATGTAAGAAATGGCGGTCTTGTTCGAGACAGAAAAGAGGGTTCATGTCAATATAATGAGGTAATTTCGCTCGTTATTAATTTGATGGTTATTTAAATAAATTTACTTTTTATTCCCAAAATCTTTCTAAATGCTTACAAAATTTTATTGAATTATACGAGGTTTTTTATTTAAATAATAAATTAAAAAAATATTGTTTGCTTACAGTATAAGATATATATGGCAAATAAAACTAGTTGGATGTATGTGGCTTAAGACTGTTGGTACAGTTTATGTTCAACTGTAGACAACGTATGGCTGAAATGATAATGTAGTAAAACAATCTTTTACTTAAGATTATGTTTCTATCTCTAAAACGCGGAACCTAACATAATCTAACTAGAATTTAATCTAAATAAAATAATATATTTAAAAATGATTTAGAATTTAATTGTATTCCAAATTCAAATAGGTAAATTTTTTAGTGATTCTTACATAATTGCGCAGCACCCGTTTATGTAAAATAAAAACAGAATTGGACACAATTTTTCTTTGGAATTTCAGCGTCGCGTTGTAACGCGTCGCCTCCAGTCTCTTATGTCTGAAGTAGCGCAACGGGTAAGCTGAAACAAAAACAAACTGTTGCAAATAGAGTTAACCACCGTCTATCGCAAACGCCTTTGCAAGTTCACTTAACAGAAACGAGATGTGAACTAGTTGCCAATTGAAATCGTAAGCTATGGAATTATAATTTGAAATAAATCAATGTACGAAAACTAGCTACAATGCTGTATATATCTTTAGATAGATTTTAGCAATCAATACTTAATTAATTCCGATAACTATTTAAATTGTTTTTCCAATATTTTTTCCTCCTATTTAAGAGCTGCGCTCTTGTAAATTGAGCTTTTGCCACTCACTACGATTTTCAACGAGTCTCTTCACCTCTTGATACGACACAACACCAACTGCTTCCTTGATCTGTCTGATGTAACTATGCCTTGGTTTTCCCTTCTCCATTCTTCCTTCTGTCTTACTTTCTATTATAACGTTCATAAGTTCGTCGTGTCGTGTCGTGTCTTAACATTTTTCCCCTTCTTATCTCAATAGTTCTTATAATTTTTCTCTTTTCCTTAACCCTAAGTAGGCCCTCCTCATTATTAATTCGATTTTTCTAGCTAATTTTCTCCATCTTTCTCCAGCATCACATTCTAATGACTCTAAATTTATCTGTTTCTGAATTAGTGTCCATGTCTCACATTCATACAAAACTATACAGGTATTGCATATGCATTATTTTACTTTACTAAAATAGCAATTTTCAGTATCAGTAATCTCAAGTAAAACAATAACGCAATACCTAAGAATAGATATGAATAAATAAGAATAGAATATGGTGATAAATTGTTTAGTTTTTTATAATGAATTAGGAGAAAAAAGTTTTCGATTGGAAGTGGTAACCTGTCGTATTGTTGACATGGATATCACAGGATATACTGTGAAGAGCTCATTATACTTGTCATTATTCAAAACTACTAAATGAATATTAATAATTTGCTTAAATAAGTGAGACAGTGGCACTTTCCGAGTCATTCAGAGAAGCTTCTTCCCGGAAACAACAGGTTGTAGAATGATCTTCCTGCCGAGGTTTTCCCTAGAGACTACATGGAGTTCTTCAAAAAGGACGTATTAAGATTTTTTAAGAATCGGTAATGCGCGTGTAACACATCTGGTTTTATAGACGTCCCTAACACCAGGTCCGCGGTAACTCAGTTTACCATCAGACGGTCGCCGCTAATAATTGTTAAAAAGAGAAGAGAGAAGGCTCCGATTTCAATTGGCGAATAGTTATTCTAAAATAAGCTTTACGTAAAATGCGGGCGCGCTTGAAAATTGGAGTCCGTCAACTAGAAGACGCTATATTATACTCGCGAAATGCAAATGTGAATACTGAATAGCAAATGTGACGTCACGTTGTTGTCGCTATGTTGTCGCTTGCTAACATGTGTATTGTCGCTACGCACGCCGCGCAGCTGTCTCAAGCGCTCGAGAACGCGGCCAAAAATGGAACCAACGTGAGTCTACGCATGGCAGTTTACCAACACCCCTTTGCCTCTGTTATACTGTCTTGATAATTGTTTTATATTTAGTTTATATGATTTTAAATCTGTATATTTTTTTTGGTATAAGAGAAAGTTTAAAACAAAATGGAAAGTTCATTTTTGAAATATGTCGAATTTTTTTGTTACGATGTCACCACAATCTATGAGCGAGATAGCTGGTAACACTTGTTTGTCATATCTTTGTGTCAGCTACTGTTAGTGTCATATAAATTCATCCTTATTTTACAAAAATACATTTATACTACAAACTCCATTTTGGTTTTATACTTTTTGACGGATTAAACGTAGATAATCGATTCCTCGTCACGTGATTTTATGTTTATTTACTATTAGCCTCTATTTTCTGTTTAATACAATTTTGTTAAATAATTTGTTAATTTTTTTTTTGTATAAAGATTACATAGTTTAAGATATTTTCTAATTTTAAAGACTGATACATTTATTATTATTTTATAAATACAAATTCTTTATTTGTATTTCTAGTGTCATACCTAAGTGTTATACATGTCGGTGGATCAGTTCACTTTTGTACTTATTATATTTTCTGTTTTATTGCTATAAAAACTAAATATTTTTTTAAATTGTATGCGTGTATCAAAATTCTTTAAGCTGTACCTTTTTTCAATTTAAACATTTTTATTTAAGACACTGCAATTTACTACGTAATTGCAGATTTAATATAGAAATATTATTAAAATATGAAAAATATATTTCAATTATTTTTGAGTAATTGTAAAATGTAGAAGCGAGCGGGTTTTGAATCTGCGCCTACTACTAATCTCTAAAATATTAATTTTCACCATATTATTTTATTAAACTAGGTGTTATTTTGCGGAAATCCACATCATTGGTTATTTGATTAGGATTATTATTTTTTATTTCCGCTACCATTATTTTTGTGTGTATGACTGGCAACACTTGAAGATTGGCCACTATTATTACTACAAGAAGTTCCAAAACCGTTGCCAGTCGGAGATTAATGGCTAATATGGAAGGCAATGTTACTTCTTGTAGTGTAGTAGTGGTGGCAATCATACACATACTAATAGTTGAGAAATTAAACCTTACACGATACTAGGGCTGTATGTTGCTGAGATTACGAGTAAAAACTCCTAAAATGTAACCAATTATCAGCATAACAGTTAATTCAATATTTTTTCATTCATAAATTAAATAGTGCTTGTTAGCTAACTGAAACGTTAATCACATAACAAGTTGCACATAAATTTTGCACCTAATCTATATTTTTATTTTCAAATATTATTTTTCTATCAAAGGCTAAATTTTCAGTAAATTTTATAAGAGTCTTTTTACGTGATTAACATTTTGGTTTCGCTAACTTGATCACTTTTTGAATAATTAATAAAGAATATAGCATTATTTTCGATAGTCAACAGGTTATTTCGATATTGTCATTTTCGTACTGTATCGTATGCATTTAACGACTCACAATATTTATTTAGTCAATATTTAGTAATATTGTAACATTCAGATCATGCGTTTGGACTCGTCGTTCGAGTCCTTGGCGAGTCTCACCGGCGGTCGCTCGGGCAGCGTCGCGGACCTCGCGGACGAGACGCCGCGTCGCTCGGTGCACCGCCATTCGTACGCTGCGCCCGCGCACAACGATCCCGATATGCCGACACCGACCAAACCGTTTGGACTTGGTAAGTTGAATTGGTGCAGACGTGTACATGGAATCTAGGTAGTAATTGGGGCATAGTGAGGCGTAACAATTTGAATTTAAATTCATTAGTTACGTAATTTTTTTATTTCGTATTTTTATACATAAAAAGATATACAAATAATGTAAAAATTACTACGAAGTTGGTTTCGTACAAAAGATAGGATATCTCAAATAAAAAGTTTTTTAATCGATTCATTTATTTTTGTTGAGGGGAATAAATCTATTAAATTAACTAAATTTTTACATAGATTTTCTAAATACTGCCCTGATCACTATCTTCTTAGAGAAAGAAATTAAATATCAATTATTTAATGTAATTTCAAATTTATTCTAATTGTAACAAAGTTCTTATTTTACAGCATTGAGAATAATGTACACACTCCTATTTCCAATACATTCATTTTCTTATTTCTGTCATTCATACAAATCATACATGTCATGCGTACAATGTCCAATTGTCAATATTATAAGCACATGCATTAAAAATAGAACAAATAATATACACGATGAGAAGTAACGAATTTTAGTATGTACAAAGTGTTTGAAGATTGCAACTAGTTAAAATATTATAGTGCACATAAGTAGTTTTAATGTAACAATATGGAAGAGTTAGTGAGTTTGTACAGATACATAACCTATGCACGATTAGGTCGTAGTATAGTATGTAGGTACTAACTTACACGCGTTGTTGGACCACAATGGAATATACTAAGAGAAATACGATTAAAGAAAGACATAAATAGATGATCATCACAAAATTTCACTACAATACATCCACGTTCCATTTCTTCACAGTTACGTTTTATTTCGACTAGCTTTGTGGCAATGCTATAGCTCAACCGATATCTGTATCTTATCTATCCAACCCATTTCACTTCTATTATTATCACCTTTCTATATTTTATATTAAATAATATTATTATTAAATTTTATATGAATATACATTACACTATTCTTTGAGAAATTTTTGATCTGAGTGGAATTCCTGCACGTTTTTTATTTTATTGTACCTTCTATTATGGTGCTTGCTAACTTTAATTTGTTGTTTTCAATGTTACTTGTTTACTAAATTAAATTATTAATTCTATAATGCAATTAATTATAATAATAAGAGAGTTATATATCCATTCACAATAGAAAACGTCTCAAAGAATCAGCGTAGGGCCACAAAAAAAATATTGTCCCGGCTTAAACTAACGTTGTATTTTCTGTATCTTCCCCCCTCGCTTCCATCAGGCTCGTTTCTCTCAGGTAAACAGCGACTACAATATGGTCTTGACTCGGAATGGCAGTGTATGGCGAAATTATTAGACGAATGTTATTGCAACATACCGTGACTAATATAGAATGTGCTGTTGTCATTGTAAACGAGAATTCATTTTGTATGTTATCCATTGATTGGCTGTAAATTTCAAATCATTACACAAATTATTTATTGGCTATCTGTTTAAGAGTGGTTAAATTCTCTTCACGGTAAAATACATCTATCTTCAACAATTGTTTTGAATACTAGATACAAAATTAGACCCTATGTATTGGCAATTAGAGGGTAAAATTAAATGCAAGCTTCGCATCGAGCTAGCTTCTGTCGTTGTGTTATGTATTTGTTGGTTTGCGTGTCTATTTCATTTGCATGGACCGAGCATGACCTTGTTATTCTTCCCTGTCCTTCCCTCTACGTCAATCTGCTGTGGATTTAAAATGGCAAACAATTGCTTTCGGATTAGAATTCAACTGTAACGTTGCTTCTAATGTGATTGATAGTAAATGAAAAATAAAAATTCATGTCTCTCAAAAGAGATTAAAATGTGTAGCAGACAAAAGCAACTACGAATTTAAAAATATATGATATAAAAACTTGAAAGGCAGTCTTGTCTATGTAGTTGATAATTGTAGTTATAGACAAATAAACAGAATCGTAGGCTATGTGTGTGTGCTAGGTACTGATGCATGTATACATGTAGAAAGTTGCAATATATTTGATAAACAAACGGATGTTGATTAATAGTATGGTAAAGAAAGCATGGAATAGAGATATGTATTGTAAGTAAACTGTATTGTTATGTAGGTAAATTAATGTAAGTGTATTGTGAAATATGAGACGATTGAGTTAATAACATTGTATGTATGTTTGTTATATGAATTTACAGAGCAAGAGGATGAGAATAGAGATGTCTTGATTTGGACTTTAAATTTACGTACTACAAAAGTCTTTCAGACTATACAGCGGGCTTTTGATAGAAAAAATTCGGTGTTTATTATGCTTGAATTATACTGCAATTTTTAGTAATAATTAGGGTTGTATTTGATTAAAAACCGACTTCTTTGTGGCAAAATCAGTTATTTTTATTTGAAACTACTGAATTTATTTTAATATAATTTTTGTGAAACCAATCTGTAAATATATGTTTTAGATAAAAAGAGAATTTTCCAAATCAGTTTATAACAAACGTAAAAATAAAACAACGAAAAAGAGAGAAAAAAATTTGAAGTCGGTTAAAAATAATATCAATTTAAAAAGTGTTGACGCCCGTCAAATTCAAGCATTTAAACATATATTTTTCTATGAAACAGCTAAATATTTAACACCAATACTTGGTCTCATATCGAATTTTGATACTGATTATTTTCTCCAATTTATACGATCTTTTGTTCTATAATATTAAGTGAAAATTTTAATGTTTTTCTTGTGTACTGCTATAACACCATTTTATATATTCCATTTTACTCGACCAGTAAGTGTTCTTTAGAGTTACATTAGTTATTTGTCTAGATTTTTTTTAAATGATGTAATAGAGCACAATTATATACCTGTCTCCCTCTGATAATGAAACCTATACAGGTCATCATGTTTTAAGCTAACCGTATTACATGTACAATTATTTCGATTTTGTTTATTTCAATATATAATTGTACACGTTTTGTACTGACGAAGCTATTAATATTTCTATTGCAGCGCGGCCAACGTTCCTAAACTTGAATCTGAACCTCAACTCACTGCGACTGCAGACTCCAAACAAGTGTACGTTCAGATAATCGTAGAATCACTAGTTTGGCTTGTTATAACGATTTGTTTACCATTCGAGTTTCATTTCTTATATGTACGTTCCGTTCTATGTGAGTTGTTGTATTCGAGACTGCAATTATTCATAAAAAATGCAAGTTACCTATTTTAATTACGAACCGTTTTGTCTCTTTCTTTTATGGTAAATTTTAATTCACAAGAAAGTGACAAAACGTGCTAATATTAAAGTCGATTTGTAGGTATTAGTTTTTATGAATAATTGGGATAATAAATTTATTTAACTTGTATCATATCGTATAATGGGACCCACAAGTGGGCTGTGACTGTTTTGTCATAATTTTATTATAATTTTAAAATTATCTGTGTAATAACTAAGTGGTTATTAGATTTACATATAAAATCTTGACAGTGTGTGTCTGTTTGTTATATTATTTATTTCTTAAAGTAACTGACAACCTCCGTAGTATAGTAACGGATATGTTATGTTGCATAAAAAATAATCTCTGGTATGATTATCAGACGGACTAATTAAGATTTTTTTTTAAATTGAATGGCTAACAAGCAGATGGGCTACTTGGTGTCAACCAACTATGAAAAAATGGTAACTTTCACTTATAGACATGAAGTTGTGGTGTTCATGTCTATAGACATACGTGGGATCTAGTGTCTTTATTAATCTGAATATATTAATTAAAGTATAGGGACCTTATTGCTCAGAATTCCAGGGGGTGTACTACCTGACTTGGTAAATTGCTAGCAATGGGGATGTTATATCCCATTATTAATAATCTTTTTCTCCCTACGTATGAGGGGTTTATTGTTGCTGGTGAAAATGAAATGACAGCCTCGTCTGCGCTGATGGAATACGCTGGCAGGGCACTAGTGAGAGATGATAGATGAGAATAAAAACAGGTCAGTTAGCCCATCATGATGAATTCATCAAGAATTAACCGATGGTTTACAGGAGAGAACACGTGGAGGTCAACTTAGCTGGGTTAATCTCTCCCCTACGTATAAGGGTTACCATGGGTAACATAGTGAATTATGTAGTGGTCATGGTGCAAGTTGATGTCTATAAATGACTGTTAACTTTTCATCAGGTGGGCCAACAGATTATTTTCAGATATTTTCAGAAATTAAATAAAAAAGTGGGTTATTTAGAAAACAACAATTTACAATGAACGGACTATAAGTACAGTTGTCGAAGTATTTTGTTTGTTAGCCGCTGACATTTTGTTTTTATTTGCAACATCTTGGAGACTGTTAAGTGAAATTGGCATGACATCATTGTATACTTTCAAGCATGAGATTGACGCTGCAGATTCTACAGTGATTTGTTTTTATAAAGACTCAGAAGGCTGTTTTTTTTTTATTTTCTAATTCATAAGTAGGTAGAAGATCAAAGTTGTACACGTAGTCTGCTATTTTATAAAAGGGTTGTGCCGTGAGCGCTTTTCCTTGAACTAAATCTTATATTATTTTTATATGTTGTTGTGTTCAATTGAAATTTGATGTAAGATTACTTATTTTTATTTAGAGTGAATATGAAGTCATAAGTATCCTCTTAAGGTAGTGTTCTACCAGTGAAATTGAATATTTTGCCAAAGAAACTTGAATCGAAAATGTAAAATAAGAGGTTTTCATACTAACAGTGCTTCCAGAAATCAAGTTTCAAAATGGAAATTAATGGTGATGTGAAGTAACTAATAATTGATTACGAGAAAAGTCTGCTGATGTTCAATAGTAGTATAAATAAAAAAATCGATTTACAATCGGTAAATCGATTTTTTTATTTGTTACTACATTAATTAATAATACTGTGATCTTAACAAAAAAAAAAAAAACTTGGCTATCTTTTCATTAAATTCTATTAAAACAGACTACAGTACGGAACGTACAATATTTCGTGTCGTTAATTCTTTATTCGACTCATGATTCATTGGGGCAATGCTCTATTCGCTGGTAGAACATTCTCTTGAAGAATTCTAATGATATCTATAACGTCTTGCAGATATTTAATCGCGATGTAATATAATAACATGTATTCTATGAACGCTCATTGTATGCCTGCGGCACTAATATAAGAGCAATTTCGAAGGAAAAATTACACAGCTAATCATTTCACGATTTAATTTTACATAATTGTAAAGCATCGATTTGAAAATTTTCGCACAAGTTTTTATTCACATTTTTTTTATAATATAGATTTAAATTTACCTAATATTGTTAATATAAATTTTTATTCTTACCAAGACAGTGTTTAAAACGAAATATCTATTTACATAGAAGGACAAAGATATAAGAGAAGCGATAATACGCCCAAAATTACGTAATCGAATTTCGCTGTGTTTATAAATAAAACTGGTAGTTTTCAGTGACAATCTTAACAAAATAAGCAATTATTTTAAAATATTATGTGTGGAAATATACCCATCGAAATTTGGTTCGAATAATTTTGGCAAATGTCTTGTTACAGATCCTGTAATTATTCATCTTATACGAAATAAATCTGAATTATATTTATATTTCTTTCTATTTTATTTTAAATAAATCTATACTAAAATTTTATTATTGTACTGATCTTTTTTACAATAAATTTTTAACCTTCTGTTCATGTCGTACGTGGTATATTGCAGCGTCCCCAGCGAGTGGTAAGCTCGGCCTACGTATGACTACACTACACGAAGAGCCCGGCCGGCGGAACGATGACGATTCCCACTCGGAGCCCGAGTCGGCACCAGCGGATGAGCTCACTACGCCGCGATCACATGTATGTATAATTGCTTAAATAATTACCAAGTGGCGTATTCGAATTTTAATTCAATTTATAATTATTTGAATTGATACCATTATTGGCCATTAACTGCCCACTGCTGAACATAGGTCTTCCCCCATAAAGGAGGTTTTGCCAGTAGTTGCCACGTTTGACAGGCGGGTTGGTAACCCTAGAGATATTTTAAGAGGGTCGCTGCTGCCCATATTTCTATTATTAAGGTTTTTTAGTTGCCTCTTACGACACCAACAGGTAAGAGCGTAGTAACCCATTCTATGCCAGGACCACACGACGGATTAATATTGCTGGAAATATTCTGATTTAATAGTTACGGTTTTTTTTTATATAGCACTAAACCTGCCCAATCGATTTTAAATAGCGGGTATCAATAACAGGATTCTAGATGAGGATGAGATGTAGCTAACTGGTCCATAGTGACGAGTTAACTACAAAATTTCCAAAGGAAAACCGCGTGAAGGTCAACTTGACTTGGGTATATATTTTTAGCATTACTAATAATTTTACTAATAATCCCCTCCTCCATTAATTTCAGGTACGATTATAGCATAATACATTATTTATAATCATGAATATGACTATAAATTATCTAGTACCCACTCATGTACATCATTTAGTTTGAGGCTAGATGGCGTTGTGTAATATTTATTATATAATTACTATTTCAGCGTACACGAAGCAGAGCGACGTCACGAGGTTTTCTACCTACTTCGAAGACGCTCGACTCACTTCACGAGCTCGCATGTGAGCGAGTGCCCAATAAAAACTCGCCCTCAATATCATCCAGTGGTTATGGTGAGTTATATTTATTGTTTATATCTTAATAGCTTAGTTTAATGCGCACACGCATTGAAAATGAACAGAAAAAATGTCCAGTTACAGCACAGTTTTTGGCCTGATGGATAGTTAGAAGCAGAAGCAGAAGCTCATCACTCGAATTGCTCCTCAACCAGTTTTGTTTGAAATGTTACTATGTTGCTGTCTTGTTCTATCTTATTCACGTGGTAGTGAAAATGTCTCTATCGATAGATTTGTTTGCCACTTTCACGGGTGCTGATTTTTATATTTTTGTAGGATCTCAGGCAGTGTCATCAACAAACCTCACAAACGACGATACACTCTCGATCCGGAGCATGTCCGTAGACGATACGCCGGACTTCGACAAAGCCATGGACTACACGCACCTCAGCAGAACGAAGAACTCGATGGCGGGCCTCAGGAATGAGATCACCGAATTACGGAACGACATAACCGAATTGAAAAACGAGATAGTCGAATCTAAGAACGAGTTGGATGAACCGTCATACGAGAAAGCAAAGACCCCGGTCCTCACACCCGGATCGAGGAATAGGATTAATCCGTTCCTAAGGGACTGTGAGCAGGCGGAGGAGGCCAGCGAACGCAAGGAACAGATGTTGGACCCCCTCGGCGCGATTCCAGTGGAGAGTCACGCTGTCAAGTCTAGTCAGAACAAGAGCGTCGACGCTACGCAGTTTAATGGAGAGACCATGCATGACACTTCTTTCGGTAAGTTGGTCTGTCCTTAAGTATTTATTGTTTGGTCATGGTCATTGGTCACATATCTATGAGACAGAATAATAAGTGACAATACCAACAAAGCATGCTGTGTTTCCCTTTAAATGATTGTACACTATGTAAATAGATAGTAATCTTATTATAAAATTTTATCAGTGGAACAATTGTTGGGAGACTAAATAAAGATAAAATAAAATAAAGCCAAAAAAATATACCTTTATTTTTTTTGCTTATTTCGCTTTCAAACATTAGGAAAAATAAATGACATAGGATTGAATATTAACTGTGGAAGCAAATTAATAGTTAACTATATAATATAAACTTTTCTACTATCTATATTTATCTTCAATGGATATTTACCAATGTACCTTTTTTTTTTCAAAACATTCGGCTTTCCATAATAAAGGTAACACTTTTTTATTAGTGATTTTGCTTTTTATCTTTTGTTTTTGTATGTAAATAACAACTAAATAATCAATCGCCGTTGTTAAAAATATCATTTGTTCGAACTAAAGTATATTAGTATGAATATATAAAAGAATGTAACACTATATACCAGGTGAGGCCGAAGTGGAATCAGTAAGCTCTGAGCACTCGAGTCACGAGCAGTCGAGTGCGGAGCGTAGTCGCGAAGCGTCCTCTGTTGGCGAAAGCGATTCCGCCTCTCCCGGGCCTGACCACTCTGTCGTTAAGACACAGCTGCCTGCTGGAAAGGTGAGTTGGTCGATTATTTTCTATCTATAAAATAAAAGAAAAAATATACTCCAAACAACAAGCAAAATTGTTGGGGCACAGGCAATTTTGTAACTTCAAAAATATTAGGAATAAGATTTTTGAAATTAACAGTTAATCTGCAACAATAAAACATATCAACTTTTTTACTATGTTTGTGAATAGGGATGCCAGATTATATGTAAACTGTGTATATGTAAACATTTGATATTAATGTTTAAACCGTGTGTACGTTATATATATTTATATTACATACAATAGTTCACAATTAAAATTTAAAAAATGTACCTAATCTGGGAAATATTAATTTCTTTAACTTGCAACACTGAAATAAGGCGCGCTTTGTTTTGAGAAAAAAAAATACTAAACGTCACGTTGACTCACAGGAACTTTTCCGTTTTTCTCAATCGACGCTCCACCCATATCCGTTTGTATAGTGATAAGTAAGTGAGAAGCGCTGTCGGCAGGTGGTGCGGCGGCGGGCGGGCGGCGGCGCGGCGGCACGAGCGGCTGCGCGTGCGTCGCTGCCGGCGACGCGGCCGCGCCCGGACCACGCGCCCGCCGAGCGGCAGCTGCGCGATACGCCCGCCTCCTCCAGCGAACGCATCGCTGATGGTCAATTACATTTTCTTTTGTTTCATTCATTCAATATTTAACAAATTTCTAATTACTATGTATAGAGTCATAAACTATATGCGTGCAGTGCAGTAACGAAATTGTTTATTTAGAACTTTCATAATTCCTAACTTAGCATTGCACTTTTTTTCTTAAATTATTTTATTTCTTATTTTTATCTTAATTCCTATATTTGTAGTTACTATATAAGATCATTTTTATTTTTTAATTTAGTCAGTTCTAAGTCAGTTGAAATATATGTATCAATTTCGTCGTCTCAATTCGACCGCAATATTGTACATGTATAAAAAAAATAAGCCACGCTTGTTGTAACGTTCTATTTGTCAGATTTGTCTTACCTGATTGATTTTGGTTCCATTTTAAGTCTTCTTATTTTTATTAATGGCAGAGTTTTTTTTGCCGGTGTAAAATTTCTGGTATTAATTGTTCACTGCTGCCCACAGACCTTCTCCATAGATTGTCGTAAAGAATGATTTTCACCCTTCTGTATTGACTGGCTACTTGCGATACAGTTTAAGCTCTTCACCTCGTTTACTGATGTGAATGGTGGGGACCGTCCCATACTGCTTTTTCTTATACACAGACGACACACGTAAAACTTTCTAAGCCATTTCCGCTTCAATTTATTTTTTCATATATAAAACACCGTAAAGTTACTTTTCAAATTATAAAGTTGATTTAGAGTCTTAAATCCAATGTGCATTACCATGAACAGAGTCGGGGTCAGATGGCGGTCGCAGCGGCGGCGCAGTGCCAGAGTGGTTGTGCGTGGGCGAGAGTGTGCAGCTGCGGCTGAGCAGCAGCACCGGCGTGGTCGCGTACGTGGGGCCCACGCACTTCGCCGCCGGCACCTGGGTCGGCGTCGCACTCGACGCACCCACTGGTAAGAGAGATAGGAGTGCGTGGGAGAGCGTGGTCGTACGTGGACGTGCGTGGTCGTACGTGGACGTACGTGGACGTGCATGAGTGAGCGTTCAGCTACGGCTGAGCAGGATTGCACGCAAGCATGGTATTCACGACGCGCCAACTGGTAATTTTACTGTATAATAAAATTGTAAATGGACGATGTCTATACATAGAAGATATTATGTGGATGTGGATGCAGGTTACTTAGGTCTGTTCCTTATAACAGTCGAAATGGTCGAATGGTAATCCTGTCTTTACGATTGGTATATGCTAAAAGGATATCAGTGGGGAATGTTAGGTGAGGATGGACTGAAGTTAGTAGGCCATTCATGATAAATTCACCACGAATTAGACAGTAGCACCTGAAAGTTGTTTTTGGTATTTTTGAGTAAGAAACATCGTCCAATGGGTCAGGGGTAGATTTTTATATGCTTTTTCTAAGACAGTCTATGGGATATTGTTCAGGCAAGAACGACGGATCTGTGGGAGGCACGCGATACTTCACGTGTAACGCACGGCATGGCATCTTCGTGCGTGCTGATAAGCTAACGCCTGACCGTCGCGGCCGCAGTGCGCGGGCATACCGCGATGCAGAGCTCAAGCGAGCCGCCAACGGTAATGGTAAATTTGAAACACATTGCTATTTATTAAACGCAAGTAGTATGGCAACTATAGAATTATTAAAAGCAATAAAAAAACTAAAAAAATCGATGAAAACTAAAATGTTTAAGGATCATGGTTAAAAATAAAATCCACTATAAATCGAATAGCAAACGTGAGCGAAGTCGATATGCACATATTTGCATTATATCCACAGTAGTGTAACAATTTTCTTGTTTCGTTTTATGATTGCATTGCCAGTCTGTCAGTACGCGAGCATGTTATGCTATGCTTATATTTAGGGTCTTCTAGCTATATTTATTACACTCAATTTATTACCGACTAAAGTCTAAAGTAATATGTGTAACAAAAAAAACCACTACATGTTTTTATTTGCAGGTGATGGATTACAAAACCTACACAGATCAAGAAGTCGCGGCGAGAGCATAAACGCCATTGGTACCAAAACTAGGAGCAAATAAACTAATCTTACCTTTACCTTTAGTTCGCTCGGTACGCCAACGTATCTACTGTAGGTACTTTATATAGATTGGCATACACCGTTCAAGTACTGTCAACCCATCACATGGTCCCGTTTCTGCGGACGAGGCCAGCTATGTATCGGACCGAATTTATATAAACGTCCACATGTTTTCGTGCGACTTGTATAGTGAACATGTTTTTTGTTGCAGTCGTATTACGCGTATGGTGCTTTATATGTATCGTAGGTGTTCAGTTCGTCTATTAAATTGCCACATGGGTAAAGCAATATAATTATGCCTTTGTTAATTAATTCCAAGTACATTTTTTAAGGCCGGGGCTATTGTTGAGGGAAATCAGTATGTCTCCGTTTTATTGACACGAGCAATAAAATGACGATGACATCGAATACGTTTCCGTACGTTCGCTAATGTTAGAGGTACGTTTTAATTAATCATTATTTTATACTTAAGTATTTAATTTTTACGTAAAGATTGACTACAATATAACGTGTAAATATATTTGGAATTTGTGATCATTAATTTTATCATTTCATTTCGATGTAAATATGTGATTTATAATTTGTGTTGTGTGTGTATTATTAATTATTTAATTTAATGATTTAGAACCAATGAAATTTATGTGATCGACCATGATAAGATTCGATGGATTATTTGTATAGAAATTTTTTACTGTATAGTTTGTGGTATAGATTATACTATCGTAAATTATTTATCTATTTTAACTATTTGACTGTGCTTTTTGTCTGTGGAGACCAGAATAGATTTACATTTCCCATGTGGAATATGAAGTCTGTAGATCACGATTTTTCGTTTCACACTGCACTAATAAATATTTTGTAATAATAATTTTCAACCCTAAATATACGTAACCTAATGGCGACTTCCGATTGCTCAGAAAAAAATTGTGTTCTATACACATTAGCCAGATTGAATGTGATAACCTTTCTTGCCACAGGTTTATATTTTTATTTGTGCCGCTTTTGTCTTTCATAAACTCAATTAGAAATTTACGAAATCGTCCAACGTTACATCTTCGTCCTTTATAAGACTTGTACTTAGTACACTAAATCATTTGACGGATCAACCGATACCCATAAGTCATTCTATATGGCGCAAGCGACACGCGTATACGGTATATGTACATAAAACTTGGTGTTTGAGACGCTTTAGTTTCACTAAGCAGTTATTTCGATTTCCAATATCTTTAACACAGTCCGCTATATTGGATTGTGCAAAAGCATACCGCTTGTCGCTTGTCGCTTGCGCCATAAGCTAACAATTAGGTTGTGTCCGTGATTAAAATTTTATGTAAAAATGATATTGTAGTGATATCAGCGCAATGTAAATTACATTTGACTATTAAATTGTCCTCGATTTATCTCCATCCACTTGCGAACAATAATCGACGATCTCTTTGTGTATTAGCGAAATGACGTCTATTGTTTACAATGTTTTATTAATATGAAAATTGTGGTAGTTATTTGAAATATTGACTAAGTTTTGGTAAAAATATCAATCCCTAGCGGTGTAGTACGCGTGTTATCGTTAAAATAATGAGATGTCCACAGTAAAGTATAGGCTATAGCTCACCTAATGTATATTCCATCCTTTTAGTAAAGTAATCGTTCATAAGTACATTAAACAAGTACACAAATAGAGTAAATGCCTCGTTATCTATTAGTATTTGTAAGTTCCACTTTCAGCGTTCATTATAGCCCGCCACTTGCCTCCATTCCTGTAAACATATGTATATTAACATTTAAAATGTAAGTACGTACTAACTTAAATGAAAAAGTTATCAAAAATATTAAATCAGCTAATAACTTATATGCACTCGAGAATTAAATGCCAATTTAGAGGTCGCGGCTACACTGAAATCGATTCGGCCAGTGTCAGGAAGTTGAAACCTCCTTTTGAGAAAATAGTTTCCGTTTAGTATAGCTGTATATCTGAACGTCTTTGCTTTCCTTTACTAGTACGCTTGTATTGGTGTACCACGTGTACGGAGTCTATTGTAGTGCGGCCGTGGCCATAGTTCATAAACGTTGACTGACGTCATATTTGTCACACGTACATAGTTTATCACGATTTGTCATCTTAATCGAATGCTTATTAGACTGTTGTACTTAATACATTCCATTTTTCTATACATTTATTGTACTAGCAGATTTTTCAGTAGTTATATACATCTGTGAACTGAACTGATAGTCAGTTGAAACTATGAGTAGTTTTGAACGGGATTAATTTTGCATTTTACGATTTTTAACTTTGAATATTAATGTATAGACCAGTATATAAATAAATCTATCTGGGCCCTAACTAGGACAGCTCAATGTGTAGTCGAAGTTAAAATCTAAAAGAAATATTGAATAAAATATTTTCAAATATAGTAGGATGTCTTTGAAACTCTCGATGTGCTTATGTCCAGTAGTTTTATTTTGGTAGAACATGGGCAATGGGTATAAAATCCGCAAGTACGAAATGTTAGGTGGTCATGTGAGTACGGGTGGCGCGCGCGGCAGGTATGTAATATGACTAGATGAATTAGGCTAATCACCTTAAGCTGTCCACAAATGTTATGATTTGGTAAATGATCAATAGAGTTGATTGACGGCTTGCAACTGTCAGTTTTGGGATTAGGGACACACTATTTCATAATTTTAGTTACAAGTCGTGTAACGCTTGTAACTGTAACTGAAAGGGTACAACCCTAATCACGAAACTGTCTCTTTCAAATGGTTTCAAATGGGAATCGTTGTCATCTACAGGGTTACACAATCAAGTCCTAGTTTGCTATTATTGGATGTATCAATCGGCTTTATTTATTGTAAGCCAAATCGTGACTTTCATAGACAGGTGCCTCTCTAGATAAATGGCAGACTAATCCGATGGATACGTTTTCGCTACCTCATGCATGTGATAAAACGAAACGAGTACTTACGGCGTTTTGTTCTTTACATTTCACATACGTGTGACATCGTAAACTATTAATAGATTAGTTTGCCATGTCTTTAGGATGGCTGTATACGCAGCGCCTCGTAGGTCCTAATTTAATTTAATAGAAACTAAGCTGACCATGTGCTGTGCTTTTGTTTTAAATAAATAGTTTTTAGGTAAATGAAATTATTGTTTTATTATTATTTTACAATCATGTAGATGTTTTGTATTTATTGCAGTCAATTGAAACAAACATGAGCTTTTACGATGTTAATGTAATTAGTTCGAGGTGACGCATGGGTCGTTATAGAATAGAAAAAGGATACTTAAGTTGCCAGTGGACAGTGTAAAATAAATATACCTAGATCACAAATCACATGTATTTTAATTCTTTTAATTGTAAGCGAAATATAATAGGCAGCTACTTGGTAGCGTTAGATGGTTGCATCTTCATTATAAACATACATAAAGAGATTTTTAATATTTAATTACAAAAATAGTTCACTATTAGTGGAAATATTTTTGCCAAGTAGCAAACTCGAGTCAACCATCGCTGTCATTATCAATAAATGTATTATAAATTATTATGTTTGTTTTTATTCCTTCTCTCCGTAGCTATAAATAGTGCATGATTTAGAGTAGACATGTATATTATTGACGGTTATAATATCATATTTCACTAGGTGGTTGGGTTTTATTTAGATATTGGATTTACTAATTTCAAGCTCGAGATAGATTTTTATTCGATGAACATATAAAAAGATAATTTTAAATTCTCTCCTAACTCTCCCCCAATCAACGTCGTTTTTTGGTTGCTTTATGCTATCAATAACAGAGGTCTTGCTGTATCAAATCGCAGCTCAAGTTTACACCAGTGTTTGCAAATAAAAGAAATAACAGGTCTAGCTTACCCTTATTAATGTAAGGTATATTTTGATAATGACATTCACATGGTTTCGTTTGGAATAATGACGGGCCAACTGACCTGATTTTATTCTCACAATATTATTATTCACTGGTGCCCCGCCAGTGTATGTCTATAGGTGGGATTACCATATCATTTTCATCCTTTAAAAAAGTCACTAACTCAATATGAACTTATTAATTTATTATATGAAGTGTAATAAAGGTAAACGATGGACAATCTTTAGCATAGATTTTTGTTTAATAGAATACATATTGCACGTTATAATATACACATGTATATCCATGTAATTTCATGAATAACACAACATTTTCGTTCTTCGTAGACCAAAACCCTCGTCTCACATCTTCAAGTGATTGCTAAATTTGATTATTTGATTAAAATTATTTTGTTTAATTCGGCTATCATTAGCATGTGTGTGACTACCAACACTCGAAAATTGACCACCACTATTACTACTAGAATGAGTATGAAATGTTTTCACCATTTCATTTCTGTATCACAAAACGTGCGTGAACGAAATAGCAGTCGGACATTGATGGCTAATATGGAAAGTTGTGGAACTTCTGGTATTAATAGTGGCAGTAAATTTTTAAGTGTTGGCAGTCACAATCAAACTAATGGTAGTGGAATTAAACAAAATAATTTTAATCAAAATATGGACTTCTGCAAAATAACGTCTAGTAAAATAATAATAATAATAAGTTTGAATCATCTATTAAAAATAGATGAGTCAAGTAGCATGCATGCCGCATGCTATATCAAATATTATCAAATACGGTTTGAAATGATCTATTAATATACCTGTCATGGATGGAGATACGCAATTTGGCTATATAACAATAATATTGGATCTTTTTTTACAGCCAAAAAGAAATCGTACAAAATGTGATATTATATTTTTATCGCGAATATATTGGAAAATTTTCTATTTATTTACATACCTGTATACAATACAATTGTAGAGACTACAATGTTGAAATTTATAAATATTACAATATATACATACCTACCTTTACGTTATTGTATCATTTATTGTCTACATACCTACATATCTACATTGTATATATATATATATATATATATATATATATATATATATATATATATATATATATATATATATATATATATATATATATATATATATACACATACATAATCTATAACAATTAATTATATTAATTTAATTTACTTTCATTATATTTAAAATATGACCAGAGGGAGACTGTACAAAAGTCGATTGCTTGGGTACCTCTGTCCCATTCGTGTTTCAACCGTGAAGCAGTTGTGTTTGCATGGCTGTGTTTCGGTTTGAAGAGTGGGATATGGCGTGAATTTACTGGGTACAGAGGAATAACAACTGAGTCCTCAGAAATGGCAACGCATGGGGGTATCATGGGCGAAACAGTATGTGTATGTACTGTTATGTCCATGCTACTGTTCATGTCTATAGGCGACGGTTACCACTTTCACCAGGTGGGCCGTCAGCTTGTTTGCCATTCTAGGTTGTATAAAAAAAATTTTGACAACCAAGTGATGTGATTTTCTTAAGAGATATAGACTGAGACCCTACTAATATTTTAAATATGAAAATTTGTAAAGATGTTTGTTACTCAGTCATGCTGAATGGGTTTAAATGAAATTTAGTACACGGATAGGTTGTTTTAATTTAACATATAAGATACTTTATATATTCGTTCACGTGAGCAAAGCCGGGGGAAGTATCTAGTTCTTTGTAACGTGACGCCTATTGCCACTTTCTATTATAGCTGGCCACCGACGGGAGTTTACAGTAGCATATAAAGCGGTTTCAAAAATGTTTCCTTCCACGAACGCTCAGGTTATACAATGAATCGGTTTCTCCGAGAGACTACACCGTGGAGTTCTTCAAAAAAGGGTTAAAAAGTTTTCTTCAGGGTCGGCAACGCGCGCGTAATGCTCCTGGTATTGCAGGCATTCGTAGGCTACGGTAACCGCTTACCATCAGGTGGGCGGTATGCTTGTTTCCCACCTCAGTGGTATAAAAACTAAAACACAAGAACCCGATTGCTGCATCCGGATCCGCACAAGACGAGTCATGTAAAACTACTATTTAAAATTAGATGGTGATAATTTACTTTCAATCACAATTCTAACGTGAGTTTAAATGTGGCAGAAAAACTATGAATTCAAAAATTTTATAACCTCATTGAAATTGAAAAATTGTTATTAACTTATTATGTAAGGTAGGTACGAGTACATTGAAGAAAATCAAGCCCTTGTAGAAAGGGTGGCGGAGGTGGCGGAGGGACGCATTAAGCAAGGCAAGGTGCTGCGAGTGAATGTTTCAATATTAGTCATTGGTACCTACTTTTTAGAACATTATTGAATACTTAGTAAACGATCTAGTTACGCATAGCGATTCTACGTAATTATACCCCATAAAGGGGGTTTTGAAGGTAGTTGCCGCGCTTGGCAGGTGGCCTGGCAACCGCAGATAGACATTTGGTTATCTTTTAACAGGAACGCTGCTGGCTATCCCTTGATTATTAAGTTCCATTAGACGATTTTTACGACACCCACGTGAAAGAAAGGGTGGCCCATTCTGTGCCGGTACTAAACGTCAAGATCCAGATACTGAGTCTCTAATCTCGATATTTCGATAATTGACGCACGTATGCATGCATTGTATTAAATATATCGTATTTTATAATATTTGTACCAGAATATTACATTAGATGTTGACTGGATCCGGCTCGAAGGACTGTAATTCTCTAATATATTATTATAATGTTACAATAAAATGAAAGATAGGTAGCTACATAAAGTTAATGTTGTTAACGTAATGAATGTCACGAAGATGGTAATAAAAAAAATCAATAATCTTCGGTCGGTACGCGCGTGCAGTTCCCTAAGTGTACCGCAACCAATGATCCGCAACCTGAATCTTGTTGGCGCATGAACTATAGCCACAATAGTATTTTATTTATGTTTAATGATAAATAGATTATTCCACTATAGAGATACACGTATTAATGCATCCAGTTACGACCAATGATGGAAAAGGACTTTTTAAATTGAATCTGATCTCAGTACTTACTTTTAGTTACGCATTTATAATACATTGTGTCTCCTGGTACACAGTTATAAACAAAACTTAGTTTTTAATTTATATTTCTATTTAGTTAATGAACATCTGATTGTATTTGATACAGAAATGCCTTTTTTATGCAACTTTTAATGGCAAACTAGCAGATGACCTACTTGCTAGAAAGTGGTATACTGTATTCCTTCATACGTAGTCATTCCTGAATGTATTTTTTGCGGAAAGATCTGGGTTGTTTATAAACAAAAATCTATTTGTATATGTGTATTTATAGGTAGTTATTCTTTGAGCGCATTCGCTGTAAATAGCTAAACCTAGTACTGAAACTGCTCATATTTTATTCGTATTACTAGCTTACCATTTATATTCCTAGGTATTGTTGATTAAAATCTTTCAGTCAGGTAAATTAGAAATCTGAGAGAATGAAAATGGATGTTTTTATTACTTGTTGTCATTCAATTTTATAGAAAGAAACTCTAAATATTCCGTTAGAAGTCGTAAATATATTTGAATCACGAGTTGGGTAGGTACCTCCCCCGATTACATAACCTACCGTATGTACATACTTTTGTGCTAGTGTCTAACAATAAATATTATAAATATGATAATATTAGAAATAATTAGATGATAGATATTTTTATATGTTTTATTTTCTGGTTTTAAAGACTTGTATTAAAAAATAATGTATTTTTGATGGAGTTCTCTGGTCACGCTATCTTACAAAATGTGGATATATTCATAGCTTCTAATACAAATATTTTACGGTAAAAGAAAACTATAAAAATGCTTTTTCCATTTTAACATTGTCCGAAAAATGCTAATACAAACAAAAATATGAAACTAGGAAAATGGCGTAGGATTTATTTATTTATTTATTACATCCACTGGGTGAGCCTTACAGTCTTCCAATACGCTCACCCAGGAAAGCATGAGTACAATAACATATAAAAAGGAATATTACACAAAAATATTAAACAAAAAATAATATGAAAAGATTTAACTGAAACAAAAAACGTCTGAACACAAATACTCTGTGATCACTCGACGAAACTCCAGCAAGTTGGAGGCAAATACATCCAATTGCGGATACTGGCTCAAAATATCATTGAGAAACTTCAATGCAAGAGATAGGGGAGCCTGTTTAGCGAACTCTGTTCTTCGTAATGGAACATCGAATAAGTGCCGTCGACCAACAGGTCCTGGGACAAATTTCCCAGGAATCAACCACGAAGAATCGGGCTTAACTTTTTCATGATGCTTAGTAAGCAAAACAAGTTGACATTCCGTCTGATGGAAAGTGTTAATCATCGCCTACCTATACGAGACTCTTCATCTCTATATATATATCACAAGTATGAAGATATTGCACCTCTCAGGCGTCGTTATTCTTGAAAACTATGGAATTATGACGATAGCTTAGGACCGTTCTTTTAAGCTATCTATGGAGTATATGGGGTGACCTATAATCAATCAACAATGGACAAATAATGGCTGATAATCATATCATATAAGCATCGGATGGAATTATGCCTCTATCATGTGATGATGATGGAACGGAACGTATCATGTAATTTCACCACCATATTTCTATCATATACTTGTACCCTTTACTAACAATCCCCGTCCCACATTACCAGAGGTATTATCGAGCAGCGGTTTCAGACGTTATTAATGGGTTGCAATGTTAACGTTATATTATTAGATTTAGAGTTGAAATAACAAAACACATTACTCGCTACCTCTCATGAAACAGTACGGCTCTTCTGTGGGAGACAGGTGACCTTATTCGCGACGTCGCGCGAGTGTCATCTGCCTTCGGGCGGCGTGGGGCGGTGCGGCGCTCGCCTGGTACGCATCGTGCTTACTTACCGTCTAGAAGTTGGTACCGTTGGAATAACAAATTGGATATTTTTTATTTATATCATACAACTTATAATATTGGATCGTGTAAATAGTTGTTAAATAGGCTATAGGTATATGTGTTAATTGTTCATAAAGAAGGAAAAATAACTTCTACGCGCTTCTAATTTGATACATTTCTCACAACGATTCAATTGACCCACCTTCACTTATTACCCCTCAATGTTGTACAGCCAGCACAAATCTGTATTTATCGGATATGGAGCGGGATTATATCTATAAAAATATCTGTAAATGTATCACTTCATATTTACATTTTTAATATCACGCGAAATTATTGAAATCCCAGTTATAATAATCATTGAAAATTATTTATTTATTTCACAATAACTTAAATATATAAGCATTCGTGTGTATGAGATATGAATATATATATACATACTATATCTCAATTAAGCTAAATGAATATTGTTAACGTCGGTTGAGTTATGGCTATATGGTGAAATACGTATGAAGGCATACCGCATGATATATTGTCCTCAGGAATGGTAACATATAATATGATCATCTCAGTGTATTAATTGACATCCGTGTAGTGTTGTTATGTTCATAAGTGACGTTTATTACTTTACGTCATAGATTCCCAAACTATTTTGGGCAAGTGGCCTCTTTTCCAAAATGAACTAATTTCTTGAGTTAATCTAATGAGACCCTTATTACAATTTACTTTAAAATCTTATTTGTATTGTTTTCCTATTTATACAAAATATTTATCAATTTTAAAATTTGCTGTTGGTTAAATGAGTAAACTTGGCATCATTTTCTCATCAAAATTTAACAAAATTAAAAAACAAAGACAGAATTCAGTAAATATCGAGTGTAATTAACAATTACTAATACAAATTACGTTACATTTGATATACTGTATAATATATAGCATCTTGAAAGTTTAAATAACAACTTGTGTTAATTAATAGGTGTCGATTTTTAGACCTTGTCGACCTCCAAAACCTCGAAAAACCAAGTTCTCGTTTATATAGACCCTTGGGAAACCAATTTCCACTCTAAGGCGATACTGACCGCTCTGGGAATCTTTGATGTAAATTTGTCGTTTGCGTTGTTAGTTCTAGGTATAAATTATTGTCTGAAGGAAATTATTTGTCATTTTAGAAAAAAAAAATAACATATATTTTTTTGTTAACGTTACTTTGCAATCTATTTTCGTATAGCCAACCTGATGCTCGTTACAAAGGAGACATCGTTCCATAATGGTTTGCCATCGGGACTTGCGTGACTTGCCATTTGCCAGGCTCTACCTTCACTAATGCGGGTCGCCTCAAAAAGGCTCCAACCGGCACTACAGTAGCTAGTCTCATGTAAATAAAAGAGAAAAGAGAAACCACCAAAATTATAGTATGTAGAATAAAGCAACTGAATATTTTTAATTAGTATAATGGATCAAGCTGGAACGTCCTCTTCCAACCAAGACCCACGGTTCGATTTCATAGGTTCCTATGCTGTAAAATCACTAAAACTAAAACCTGAAAAATGGACGAGGGTATTAGGCATAGAGGAACACAGGACCACACTAAAAGACTTCGTGGACAAACCTTTACCAATACTTTTAGTGGTAGTTTTGACAAACGCCTTACAATTAGTACCAGTCATATCATTCCCATGTTATTTGAAGAATAAAGCAGTTTATTTTGTTAAAAAGAAGGCCGATGTCGTTCCGAAGGAGAATTGCTCTGAAATGATAGTATTTGGTAAGTATTTAAAATTAGTAGAAATAATATTATTTTTAATTACCAAATTCTAGATTCACTATTGTGAGTCTAGAATGTTTTTTTTGATGGATGATAATGGAATGGTAACCCCGTCTGCGCTAACGGTAAAAGCTGGTGGGGCACTGGTGAGGGATGATACGTGAGAATGAAAAGGCAGGTTAGTTAGCTCATCATGACAAATGTGAAATTGTCTTCAGAATTTTTTTCTTGGAATTCAGCATGATGGTTTCCAGAAGAGGCCACGGGGAGGGCGACCTGTTAGAGTATATTGTTAGCAATAGGAGTGGTACTCCGCATTACTAACAATACCTTCTTCTCCGAGTCTAGAATGTTATAAACCAATAGGTTTTTATTGGTGAATTCTTGATTTTATATTATAAAATTAAATAGACTTAACTAAGTATTTAAATAAACTTGATTTAAGGTATTCTGTATGGTCATTTTGAATTTATTTATTCCATTAAAAAGAAACCAGATAAATATATGTTTTAATAGATATCGAGTGCTATAGATATTGAGATATACTCATAGAGTTTTAAAACGAAGTTGCATTCAATTATGAATTTACAATGCAAGATTATTTTAAAGTCTTAAAATAATCTTGCAAACAAGGTCTCAGTTTTTTACAAGTTCTTCTATTTTATATCTCATCTTTAGGTGACTTAGCACCAAGATTAATAGACGAATTGGCTGCATTGGTGGACGAGGTATTTGTGCCACTTTTATCAAACCCATTAAACCATGAAGGATGGCCGTTGGTGGTCTCTCAAGATATTCTAAAACAAATACACAATCTTAAAAGTACTGTATACGAGGTAACTTAATTGCTCATTTTATATTTTTAATATCCATATTTTCCTTACTAATATTATAAATGTGAAAGATAGTTATTACTTTGTTGCCTCATAGTGCTTTAACGGCTGAATCAACCACTATGAAATTTGGTACATTTAGCATACAAAAGTTATAGGATGGAGACGGACTTAGGCTCTTTTTTTATCTCAGTTAATGGACATATTTCGGTCAAAGTCGTACAAATTCGCGGGTAGATACTAGTTGTCTTATAACTCTCAATAATATTTGAGCAGTAATGTAATGCTCAAATAAATAAATTGTATCACACAAATATAACTCATTATTTCAAAGTAAAATAAACGGTAACATAGTTTCTACTCCAAATTTTTAACGAACTTCAAAAAGAAAGGAGGTTTGTGCTCAATTCGGTTGTATTTTTTTTTATACAACTTAGAATGGCAAACAAGCTGACGGCCCACCTGATGGAAAGTGGTAACCGTCGCCTATAAACATGAGCAGTACCATGGACATAACAGAGTATACTGTTTCGCCCATGATACCCCTCAAGCGTTGTCATTCCTGAGGACTCAGGTGTTGTTCCTCTGTACCCTGTAAGGGTTTCACGCCATATCCCACCCTTCAAACCGAAACACAGCCATGCAAACACAGCTGCTTTACGGTTAAAACACGGATGGGACAGAGGTGTCCAAACAAACGACTTTTGTATAGTCTTCCTCTGGTAAAATAATATTTTTATATCATCTTATAACTCCGTCAGTTCTAAACCGATTAAGAAAATTATTTTTTTTTATATGAAAGGATATACTTACAGATTGATTTCATGGAAATTTTATCAAAATTAGTTTAGTAGTTCAATTGTTAGATCAAATTACTGGTTTTGTCAAAATTTAAGTATTTTTTTGTGGGATACAATCTTTAATTATTTAAAGTTCTATGCGTTATTATTTATACGTTTTTTTTTATATACTTAGGTAAAAGGTAAAGTAAATGGCCAGACAGTATTACCAATGCCGGTCGGTGTAGAACTAGTCCACGAAGCTGAGAAAGAACTTTTGAAAGGCAAAGAAGTAGACCTGTACTTGAAGAGTGCGATCGAAGGGGTCGTTATCAAATGGGCGCAACAAATCAATGATGTGATGATGGAAGACACTGCGCAGTCTTTTGATAATGGACAGAACCCACTGCCATCAGTTGGTTAGAATATTTTTCTATGTATTAAGTAAATGTGAAGAATGTAGTGAATAATTATTGGTAATAATGGTTTCTAACTAGACTATATTTAAAAGATTTTGTCGTAAATAAATTATACCAAGCAAAGTCTAACTTACTAAAAGAAATTTGTCATCATCATCATCCTACCCTTATCCCAATTATTATTTGGGGTCGGCGTAATATGGTTTTATTCATATTAATAAAGGATTTGGCTTACAGTTTTACGACCGGCCACCTGCCTGATGTCAACCCTCATTGGGACAACTTACCTAAAGAAACTATTCATTCTATTTCATATTAAAATAAATTATATAAAATTAATAATGATTATTGTATTTATTACTTTTTAAAAAAAAAAGAATTTTTTTCTAGAAAAAATGATGAGATTATATTAATTTTTGGGAATATGTATAAGTTTATACGTATATAGATAATTTTGCGAATGACTTTATTTTCTTTTATTATATATTATATTTTGATAATTAAATTGCCTTCAGAGCTTGCATTCTGGAAGTCCAGACTGAGCAATTTGAACTATATATACGATCAGCTACGTACAGAAAGAGTTCGCTGTATGGCTGTTATATTGGAAAAGACGTCATCGGCATACTATCCGTGCTTTAGCAGATTATTCAAGAACATTGTATCTGGTAAATAGTTTTAAATTTATTTGTACATTTTAAACTGTCTTTTATTTATTTTTATACTGTATACATAGTATTTTAGATAATGTGAGGAAAAAAGGATCCGCCCCCGTTTTCACTAAATTATGTAAAGCAAAAAATTTAAAAAATAATTAAGATACATGTAAATATTATAGAATAAACCAAACAAAGTTTCTAACTAGTGCCATTTTTGAAAAAATATTTATTTACTTTTTTCCTACATGTATTCCGGTTTTTAACCACAATTATAGCACAAAATAAATCACTACAAATTGTAGTGATTAATTGAATAATAATAACTATTACGTATCTATTTAATATGATAAATGCAATAAAGTTCATTTTATGTATTTATACGGAATATATTTACACAGAACCCTTGACTTGTGACTTCGACTTGCACCCTCCTGTTTTTTTTATTTAATAAATGTAACATACTTGTTTTCAGCTTTGGCAGAAGCACGAGAGATAGATATGTATTTGAGAACATTAGAGAGACATTTTCAGCTTTTGGAGGACACCGATTTCACAGAATGCCAGCCTTTTTTTCGTCCGCTCTTCCACGTAATTTGTATGATTTGGCGAGATTCCAAATATTATTGCAGCTCATCTAAATTGATGGTACTACTCAAGCAAATATGTAATCTGCTTATTTATCAGGTAATTCTAGATTAAGTTCTAATTTATGAAAGTTAGAAGCATTTTTAGAAACTCGTGTAATTATCTTTTTTGTTACAGGCAAAGAAGTGTCTCGATCCAAGCACACTATTCCACAGCGATATCGATGAAGCAACACAACGCATTCAAATAACAATAAATATTATCAAAAAATTTTATTCTACATTCGACCACTTCAAAGATAATCTACATACATATTTCGTAGACAGAAGGGTGGTACCTTGGACTTTTCATTCCAATGTGGTATTTGAAAGATTGAACAGATTTCTAAAGAGACTTACTACGATTCAATGGTTCTTTAGTACAGTCTTAGAGTTCCAGAAATTGGAAAAAATTGAAATCGGCGGTATGAAAGGAAAAGTTTTAGGTGGTCAGATCAGAGAGATATCAGCGGAGTTCGATTCTTATTTTCACAGTTTCGCGTCGAAGTCTTATGATGTTCTGGACCCTGACGATGATACTTTTGATGAAGATTTCAAAGCGTTTCAAGAAAACATCATCGACTTGGACTTGAAACTGTCCACTGTCTTAGTCGAGTCGTTTGATAACTCCTCAACGTTGGAAGCTATTTTTAAGGTATCTTCTATTTTGCATTTACAAAGTAAAGCTTTAAATGTGCAAGTGGGTGTCTTCTGAAATTCTAATTCTGTCGTATTGCAGCTAATAGACATTGTTGGATCTGTTTTGGATCGACCTCTCATAAAAAATGAATTTACAGCAAAATACGTCGAGATTATTGTATTACTTCAAGAGGAACTCGATATTTGTGAAGTAAGTTCTAACGGCAATAAATATATTTGTTTTGTGGGAATGTTACTTTGATATGGATAGTAGAATTACTGCTATTGTTTTTATTAATTGAAAAAAGCGAAAGGAAGAGATTGTGTAATTTTAAATCTTTGCGTTATTTACACTTATTTTAAATTATATACGTCGGCGATAAAAATCAGGTATGTAGATACTATTTACCTGTAATCGCGTCACGTTAATAGGGAATTTAAAATATTAGCTACAGATTAATAATTTAATGACACTCTGGGACTTTCGTGTTTCGGATAGCGTGTTAACTTATTGATTTTAAATATTGAATAGCTAGAAAATTGCAAAATCGTAAGTCATTATTTTTTAGAGTTACGAGTACTCTTATTTTAAATCGAAAGCTCTGGACACACATTTTATTTGTTATATTATTATAATATTAGTCTTATTATGTATATTAGGTAATAGAGTGACGTGTCTAATGTATTTTGTCCGTGAGATAGCAATACCTGCATTATGAAGTAATGCATGTATTAGCAATACATTTTACGTTTGAAAGTGAAAAACCCAATGAAAACTACGACACAATACTTAACGTTGTGTTGCACAAAAAACCGACCTCAGTTGTGACACAACCAGTTATTTTGTTTTAAAAACTATCTTACTGAACCGATTTTGGTAACATTTCTATGGGACCAATCTGTAAGTATATCCTTTTAGACAAAAAAGAAATTTCCAAATCGGTTCACAACGGACAGAGTTATATGCAATACATGTCATGTTGTATTCTAATATACTTTTTAGGACCTGTTCAACGAGCAAACACGTCGGTTGGAGAAATACGGTGTTATGGAGGTCGACACATTCCTTCCTCCAGTAGCTGGAGGACTACTCTACATGACGATGCTAGCTGCGAGGATCTCCAAGCCTGTAGCTAGCTTTCGCAATTTGCCGCACCCGTAAGTAAACTGGGTGGGGCAAATTGCGAAAGCTGATTATCTGGCTTAATTTCTTCTATACTTTTCGTATCATATCCGTAATTGTGAGAGATTTTGTGGTTTTATTTCCACTATGTCACAGTAGTGTAGTATATTATGGTTGATTATTACATTTAGTATCTATAGTCGTTGTACTTACTTTTGATGAATTTAAAGTAGATAGTAAACAAGAAGTCACTTTTGGTGTTTCTATAATAGCTTAAAATGGAACAATACAATATTTATAATTGATTTTATTGGAAAATAACTTTTTTCGTGCATAGGATAAAGGGTACGGAAGAAGCGATCAAAATTTTCAAAAGGCACGACACACTTATTGAAAAAATAAACGAGTTCAAGAAAAAGTATTTTAAAGATTGGACGACAAACGTTCCGAAAATAATTAAAGATAAAGCTACTAACAAGATAATTGCTCGCCAAGGCTCAGACCTGGTATTAAATTTTAGTCCAATGGTAAGCTTAATATTATAATATCCAATTAGGTACTTTGTGAATATTTCTTTTATCTTAATTTTATTCAAAATGAACTAATTTAGCTTTTAGATGTTCTAAAAGAAGTCCACCATTTAAAAAGTAATCCAGATTTCAAGGATTTATTACCGCCAGAAAGTCTACAATTATTTGAAAAGCAAGAAACTTATAGGCAGTATAGAATAAATCTCGGTATCACAATTGACTGGTATAATCAAATAAGAAAAAATAGTCAAAAAGTAGAGTTTGATTTAGTAGAAGATGAAATAAAGGCAATAGATCAGAGGATTGAAATGGGGCAAAACCAATTAAATTGGAATTCACAAGGTAATTTTATTTCTTATGTATGAAAAATTATATATTATCAATATGCCTCTAACTTTGTACGCGTATAATTTTTTTTATAGTTATCATAATAATGATATTTTTTTTAATAATTGCAATATTTTAGATTTGTGGAATTATTTACAAGAATTGCATACGTTAGTGGGAAATTTGTACGGGCGTATGTCCAAGATACAAGAAAATTTAAAGGAAATCAAAGCCGTTATGAAAGATTGGTCGTTGCAGCCTTTATTCGAGAGAAAAGAGGGGAAGAAAGATACATTATTAAATTTAGATGATCGTCAAGATAGAAAGAATAAACGGTATGATGATATCCGTGCAGCTGATCAGAGGGTAAGAGAGCTTCTTAAAGAAAATATGGAGTTATTCAATATGCAAGATAATCAAGACAGCAAAATATGGCTGAACTATGTATCCTTTATTGACGAACTCATGGAAGAATCATTGTTTAAGTCCATAGCTTGCAGGTATTTAGTATTTGTGTTTCTCGTTACTGTATTGATAAAGGTATTAGATAAGGTAATTGATAATAGTTTTAAAAATAATATGTAAATATTTAAATAATTTCAGTATGGGTTATTTAACGGAGCACATGAATCCTAACAATAAGTTGGCTCCATTATTCCAAGCTCAATTAGAATTATTGGAACCCGATATGGTTTTTGCTCCGAGTTTAGATCCTAAACATGAAAAAGGATTTACAGCTTTGATAAAAGGGCTCATTGATGATATATTGAAAATGTCGACGTTAACACAAAGGATAAATATTAAAAAGACGGAGACTTATGAAGTACAGATAGTCAACAGTGAAGATATAACTGAAATGAAAGTTGAAATAATGGAGAGAATCGATAAGGTAAAAAATAGTAAAAAAAAAAAAAAATAAAAAAATAAAATAAAAATCAAATCAAATGTATATATAAAAAAAAAACTTCTTTAACATTACAGGTTATTGAAGACGCAAACGAGTTCTGTAAGACCTTTGAAAACTATTCCTACCTTTGGCTTGAAGAAAGAGATGCAGTTATGGACATATTCTTAACTTACGGAAGAATACTTCAGCCCGAAGAGATAGATAGAATTGGTGGGGAAGATAGTGATAATCCTCCTCCAACACCATGCCCACCAAAAATGGAAGGGTTTAGAGAGCAAATTGATAATTACGAAAATCTTTTTATGGATATTGAAGACATGGATTCGTATAAAATATTTAATTGTTGGTTTCAGGTTCGATTTTATTCAGTTTTTGACATCACGAAATCAAATCATTTGAAAATGTAATAATTTAATATTTTTTTTTTCTATATATTTTTTACAGGTTGACGTTAGGCCTTTTCGACAAGCTTTGTTGAATACTGTTAGAAAATGGGGAAATATGTATAAAGAGCATTTAGTTGAAAATGTAACTTCAAGTTTAAGTGATTTGGCTCAATTTATTCGTAAAGCGGATGAAGGTACTGATAACGTTTATTAGTGTTTCCTTATAAAGATATTTGAATAATTAAGAAAATTTTGAAAATTGGTACAAATTTAGTTTAGAGTGGGTATACTGATTGGCACAATAGATATCTATATTTTTAAAACATTTGTGTATCTTAAAGTAAGTCATGCTCAATATAATATATAGACTGAAGGCGACTTGGGGAACCAGATCATTGGGCTCCCTACTATATGGTTGAAGTCAACTATTGTTGTCTTCATAATTGTGAACAGGTACTTCTTGTAAGAATTAGCCTGTTAAAGAATATAGGGCTTTATTGTTGTTTTCATAAACATGAAATTTTGTTTCTCAGTCGTATATATTTTTTCTAAATACAAATTTTGTCTGAGAAAAATAATCGCTGAGTTTCTTGCTGTTCTTCTCAGCAGAAATGATATTCCGAACTAGACGGTAGTCATAAAAATATGACTGTTCAAAAATATTTACTTAAATAACAAATATTTTAGGTTTTTTAAGTAATTAAATAACTTTAAATTTTAGAGACAAATGTAATTATGAGAAAATTATAGTGATTAGGACCGAACGAGATCTTGAAAATGAGTAAACTTGTAATTTGTTATACTGATACAATGTTACATTTTAATGATTTGTATAAAATTGTTTCTTAGGTTTGATGCAACCAGTTCCTGAAGGAGATTATGAAGCACTAATTGCTATAATGGGATACTTGATGAATGTGAAGGAGCGAGCATTAACTACAGATGATATGTTTCAGCCTATATCGGAAACTATAGAATTGTTGAAGTTTTATGATATGGATATTCCTGAAGAAGTAAATGTTTTGCTCCAGGTAATATAACATTATTATTAAATACAAATAAATAATTAAAAACTTTATTATTAAAATGCAAGTAGACAAAAATTTACAATTCGCGTTGTTTTAACAGATCTATGTTGTTTTGATATGATCATATATGTAGGGTAGTAGTAAGCTAATTTTTAAATAATAATAATCATAATTATCTGAAAATGAACTGAATAATACAAACGTTGTCAAATTTTGGTATGAATTTATGGATGATATTGTGGAATAATTTACAAATAATTATAGGAATTGCCCGAACAATGGCAAGCTACGAAAAAGTTGGCTCTTACAGTCAAACAGCAAGTTGCCCCTCTTCAAGCAGCCGAAGTAAGCGGCATTAGAAAGAAAATTGCTATATTTGATGCACATGTCAATTATTACCGAGAAGTATTTAAAAGATATGAGGTATGTATTGTAGTTGTTATATGAAGGTATATATATTACGATTGGTAATAATGGTTCTTGAGTGTTAAATACTATTACAAATACATTTCAGTTCTTTAAATATGAATGTGAAGATCCTTATGATGTTATGTCACGAGTAGATTTTGAAATGCTTTACTTGGAAGAGGAAATGAAGAATATACAGGAATCAGGTTCACTTTTCGAAGTCAATGTGCCTGAATTCAAGTTGCTGAGGCAGTGCAGAAAAGAGTTACGAATGCTGAAGGTAACTATTGTTATGTAAAGTTTAATAAATTCGATACATACATTTATTGGCATAAAAATAGGTGCTTTAAGTATAATATTTAATATTTATTTTAGCAACTATGGGATTACGTGTACATTGTCAGAACAAGTATTGAGGATTGGAAAACAACGCCATGGCGTAAAATTGATGTTGAAAACATGGATATAGAATGCAAGAAATTCGCCAAAGAAATAAGATTACTGGATAAGGAGATGAGAAGGTATATACATTTCCAGGCGTACATTTTACTTAAAGTATAACAACTTAAACATTTCATCGAATTCTTTTAGTTGGGACACTTACACGAATTTGGAAGCTACAGTGAAGAATATGCTGACATCTTTGAGAGCGGTTGGCGAATTACAAAATCCAGCCATCAGGGAAAGGCATTGGGATCAGTTAATGAAAAGTACTAAGGTGACAATTTTGCAAAAAATAAATAAAAGGATGTACCTATTTAAAATTAAAAGGAAAATAATTATAAGTTTTCAGTGTAAATATTATCATGCGCACTTTGATGTTCAAATGGATGTTCATCGGGTTTGAAATTGAGATTGTTAAGTCTTTTGCATGTGGTTTTGCAAATGATAAGTAGCATGTATGCTTTTGTTCAAAATCACTATAAAAATGTACAGATTATTGCCAATAATACGGGATTGATTTTGTTTGGAGTATATTTTTGTTACTTTAAAAAATGCATTAAGAGGGATTTTGTGAATGTAAATATGTTTATGATCCACAGAGCTTAGCTGCATTGCCACCTGAACTCACTGTAAGTACAGCTGTGTCATAAAGAATACAGTGTATATATTTTCATTATTAAATTATTTTATTCTAATAATTTTCTAACGCATAGCATACAATTAAAAGCTCTAAATGATAAAATCTTTAAAATTGCATGTTATAATTATTATAAAAGTAATTAAAAGCAAACAGTTTTTGCATGTCTCTTCTAAACATAATTCACTGTGTCATAAATTTTTACTTTTATTTATAGTTATAATTTTTATATGTAGTTTCAGTACTTTTTATATATATAATTAATTAGAAGTTAAATTTTGTAAATACATTTATTTAGATATAAAAATTAGAAGAAATAGTAAATATTTAGAAAATTATAATGTGAACATATTATCACTATAGAGTTTTTATAGAAATAGATTAAAATAGATATTAGTTATTTAATATTTTATATATTATATATGTAGTTATTTATCGTTCTTGTTTAAACCAATAGAGTATTTAATAGGGAACTTATATATCATAACGTATATTATTAACGTGTGTATTTGACTTATCAGGTAAGAATCGTGATGGATACTAATACTACGTTAGCGGATTTATTGGCTCTTAATTTACACGAATGTGAAGAAGAGGTAAAAAATATAGTAGACAAAGCAGTGAAAGAGATGTCGATGGAAAAAACATTAAAAGATCTTGACAATACTTGGAAAGGTTTAGAATTTGAACAGGAAGTACACCCAAGAACAGGATGCACATTACTAAGAGCTAGTGAAGAACTTATTGAAACCTTAGAAGAAAATCAGGTAATTTTACTGGAAGCGCCACAACTAAATGTGTCAAGATAACGATTTCAAAATTTAAATTGAATTTTACGGCAATAATTATTTAGGTTATTTTTGACAGAGTGAGACATTTCAAAATCAGATTTAATTTTTTTTTTATTGCAAATATATTAAACTCCCAAGGTTCGAGCTCTATTCGCATTTCTCTTGATTTGATAAATTTTTACTTTCTTTCCACACAATATTATAATGTTCAAATATTTTTTCATTGTGTTTACAGGTACAATTACAAAATTTGATAACATCAAAATTCATAGCTCACTTCTTAGAAGAAGTTTCTAGTTGGCAGCAGAAACTGTCGATAGCGGATCAAGTGATAACAGTATGGTTTGAGGTTCAAAGAACTTGGACTCATTTGGAGAGTATATTTATGAGCTCTGAAGATATAAGAAAACAGTTGCCTGATGATTCCGCGAGATTTGATAGAATTGATGCGGAGTTTAAAGTGAGTTTATATTGTGTATTTTTTTGTTTTTATTGAATATTTGACAACGGTATGATAATTTGATTATGACTCTAGTATTAAAGCTCATGTATGAAATGTGAATACACATGATGATTTTTTGCACAAATAATATTAAATATAAAAGAAATATTCATGAGTTGAAAGTATTATAATTAATCTTATATAGAATTTGAATGTGAAAGAACATTTATGATATTATATTTACAATATTTTTTTTTTTTAAGATTCTATCAACAGAAATGGCTAAAACACCAAATGTTGTGAAAGGAACAAATAAAGAAGGTCTAGTGGAAAAACTTGACCATTTACAGAAGGATTTGGTAATTTGTGAGAAAGCTTTAGCTGAGTATTTGGAAACAAAGAGATTAGCTTTTCCAAGATTTTATTTTGTATCATCGGCTGATTTATTAGATATTTTATCAAATGGAAATCAAGCTGATCTGGTCGTAAGGTAGATAGATATATGGTTGATATTGTAATATATTAATTAATTACAAATAATAATAAACAAATTATTTTTAGACATTTAACCAAACTTTTCGATTCAATCGCTAAACTTAAGTTTATTGAAAGCGAAAATCCTAAGGAAAAGGTAGCACTCGGTATGATAGCAAAGGATGGCGAATATGTTCCATTTCATGGTACCTGCGATTGTACTGGACCGGTAATATATGTATATATTTCATTATTATTTTGCTATTATAAATACGACATATTAAAATGTTGGATTTCCCTTTAGGTGGAAATTTGGTTAAATAGATTACAAGATATAATGCGATCAACAATTCGTCAGTATTTTGGCGAGGCGATTGTTTCATACGAAGAAAAACCTAGAGAACAATGGCTATTCGATTTCATGGCACAGGTTTCTTTATGTGGTTCACAAATTTGGTGGACGACTGAAGTTAATATGGCCTTTGCTAGATTAGAAGAAGGGTATGATAATGCTCTCAAAGATTACTACAAGAAACAATTAGCCCAACTAAGTACACTGATCACTTTGTTGATCGGAGAATTGACTAAACAGGATCGACAAAAAATTATGACTATTTGCACTATTGATGTGCATTCTAGAGATGTTGTCTCCAAAATGATACAAGGAAAGGTAGAAGCGGGGTCCGCTTTTCAATGGCAGTCGCAACTTAGACACAGGTTTTGAAATACCAAAGTAGTAACTTATCATCTGCACATTTATGTTACAGGTTTTTATTACAATTTCATTACATAGTAACATTAACAATACGTAGATTATTAGAATATTCACATTCATGTACATATCTCACAAAATATTTTTTTTTATATATTTTATTACTTATAAGAATGCCAACGTAGGTATGAGAGTAATGATCGTCACACATAACATTCTGTACAGTTCATGATACTATTCATGAGTACCAGTAATGGTTACTATTTTCCATCTGATTCGTCATTAGCTAGTTTAATTCTCTATTTTATTTTTACTCATACTTGTTAATGTTTCGATATTTTTTTAATAAGTCATAGAGATCTATTTTAGATGGGATGAAAATGAAGTCCATTGCTTCGCTAATATTTGCGACGCTCAATTCCTATATAGCTATGAATATTTGGGAAACACTCCACGATTGGTTATAACGCCACTGACTGATAGATGCTACATAACGTTAACTCAGGTAATATTATCTTTTTTTTTTATTATTATAGGGAGGTGATTTGATGAAAACAACAAGTATTCTTAATTTTTCTAGTCCCTACATTTGATAATGGGCGGAGGTCCAGCAGGACCCGCTGGTACTGGAAAAACAGAGACAACTAAAGATTTGGGAAGAGCATTGGGTATAATGGTATACGTTTTCAATTGTTCAGAACAAATGGACTATCAGGTATAATTTTATTTATTTAATGAATGATAAAGTCATAATTATTTACTAATACATAGGTACATTTATTTATTAATATTTTTAAAACTGTGTCTATAAAATTTGCATTAATTCTATATATTTAATTTATAGTCCTGCGGAAATATCTATAAAGGATTAGCACAAACAGGAGCATGGGGTTGTTTTGATGAATTCAACAGAATATCTGTTGAAGTATTGTCCGTTGTAGCTGTTCAAGTAAAGTCAGTACAGGATGCAATTAGGTAAGATACTTTATAAATGGGCATCTACCTACATGCATAATTTAAATGATTGACTATTTAATTGTATTTTAATTTATAGAGATAAGAAAGAAAAGTTTAATTTTATGGGGGAAATAATATCCTTAGTACCATCTGTCGGAATCTTCATTACTATGAATCCAGGATACGCCGGTAGAACTGAATTGCCTGAAAATTTAAAAGCTCTCTTTAGGCCTTGCGCTATGGTTGTGCCTGATTTTGAATTGATTTGTGAAATTATGTTAGTTGCTGAAGGATTTCAAGAAGCTAAAATTTTAGCAAGGAAGTTTATTACTCTGTATACTTTGTGTAAAGAGTTATTGTCTAAGCAAGATCATTATGATTGGGGCTTGAGAGCAATCAAATCAGTATTAGTAGTTGCAGGTTCTTTAAAAGTAAGTATATAATGTATATAATCACACAAAATAAATTTATCAACATATTATCAAGTATATATATTTTAATTTTTTTGTAAATTAGAGAGGCGATCCAGGTAGACCTGAAGAAGAAGTGTTAATGCGGACACTTCGAGACTTCAATATACCAAAAATAGTAACAGATGATATGCCGGTTTTTATGGGCCTAATTGGAGATTTATTTCCTGCTCTTGAAGTACCGAGGAAACGTGATTTAGAGTTTGAACGAACTGTTAAACAAGCGGCCATGGATTTAACGCTACAACCAGAGGATAATTTTATTCTTAAAGTTGTTCAGTTGGAAGAATTATTAGAAGTTCGACATTCTGTATTTATCGTCGGTAACGCTGGTACAGGCAAAACTCAAGTATGGAAAACACTATTCAAAACTTATCAAAATTTAAAGAAGAAACCAATTTATAATGACTTAAATCCGAAAGCTGTTACAAACGACGAGTTATTTGGAATTATAAATCCAGCAACTAGAGAATGGAAAGATGGATTATTCTCTGTAATAATGAGAGACCAAGCAAATCTTGTTGGAGAAAATCCAAAGTGGATACTTTTGGATGGAGACATTGATCCAATGTGGATTGAATCTTTAAATACTGTAATGGATGATAACAAAATTTTAACTTTGGCCAGTAATGAAAGAATAGCTTTAACACCAAGTATGCGATTGATGTTTGAAATTTCTAATTTACGAACTGCTACACCAGCGACTGTATCTAGAGCTGGGATTTTATACATAAATCCTCAAGACTTAGGATGGAATCCGTAAGTATTTACTACTAGAGACTTTATTTTCAATTTATAAATTGTTCACTACTACTATTATTATTATTATTTTTCAGTTATGTTACAAGCTGGGTAGAGACGAGGAAGATTCCTGCCGAGAAATCAAATTTAGTAATGTTATTTGACAAATATATACCACCATGTCTAGAAACTATTAGAAATAGGTTCAAAAAAATAACACCTATAGCAGAGATGGCACATATACAAATGCTCTGTCATCTTCTAGATTGCTTATTTGTACCTGAAAATACACCTGCGGATTGTCCTAAAGAATGGCACGATATCTTCTTTGTTTTTGCCTGTGTTTGGGCATTTGGATCTGCTATGTTTCAGGATACTGGTGTCGACTACAGAGTTGGTAGGTCTATTTGTGATATTCCAGTACTTTAAATATAATTATATTAATAAACCATATATAAAAATATGTTAAATTGTTACAGAGTTCACAAAATGGTGGGTTAACGAGTTTAAAACTGTTAAATTCCCATCAGGTGGCACTGTTTTCGACTATTATATTGATTCCGAAACTAAGCAGTTTACTCCTTGGACAGAGAAAATCCCTAAGTTTGAATTAGATTCTGATGTACCTCTACAAGTAAGTAAATAATATAAGAGCATATTATTAAGATCAAATGACATATGTATTTCTTCTTAATCATAATTTTTCAATTTCTAGAATTTCAGATTTATATTTCATAGGGTATATATATTAGTTCGTCAATAAAATAATGATTTCATAATATTTTATTTTTAAGAAGGATAATCTTAGCATATCGTAATTTTATATATTTTTACAGGCAGTATTAGTACCAACAGCAGAGACGATTCGAATTAGATATTTCTTAGATTTATTGATGAAAAATAAACATCCCGTAATGTTAGTAGGAGCTTCTGGTTGTGGTAAAACAGTTTTAGTGAATGAAAAATTACAAGGGTAGGTTTAATACTGTTATATTATATTGATAATAAATAATAATAATAGTATATATTAAAATTTATTATTTACAATTAAACAGACTTCCAGAAAACTATGCGATACAATCAGTCCCGTTTAATTTTTATACGACGTCGGAGATGTTACAAAAAGTCTTAGAGAAACCGTTAGAGAAAAAAGCTGGCCGTAATTATGGGCCACCCGGAAACAAAACCTTGATTTACTTCATAGACGACATGAATATGCCTGAAGTGGATACATACGGAACCGTACAGCCTCATACTATTATTAGACAACATATGGACTATAATCATTGGTATGACCGCAACAAATTGACTCTGAAAGATATTCACAACACCCAATATGTATCTTGCATGAATCCGACGTCTGGAAGTTTCACGATAAATCCAAGACTGCAAAGACATTTCTGTGTATTCGCAATAAGCTTCCCTAATAATGAGGCATTAAACAATATTTATCATTCGATATTATCACAGCATTTAATAAACCCTGAATTGAGAATAAATCCTCTAATAGCCAAGTTATCAGGTAAGAAGTATCAGAATATTGATGTTTATACATTTCAATCGCAATATGATATTAATTAAAATTTTTTTTTATTCTTCAGGAAATGTAGTGACAGCTACAATAACTCTTCATAATAAGATATTACAAATTTTCTTACCTACTGCAATAAAATTTCATTATATATTTAATTTAAGAGATTTATCAAATGTATTTCAGGTAACAACAGTCACTTTTTTCTATATGTTTTTTTTTTATAAAACCTTAACGTTGTTAGTGGTAATAACTGAATTCATTTTCAGGGTTTTATATTTAGTACAAACGAATGTCTCGTAAACCCATCGGATATAATACGTTTATGGCTTCATGAAACTCATCGAGTATATGGAGACAAACTCATTGAAGACAAAGATATTGATGCTTTTCTTAAAATGCAAGTTGACATTTGCAAAAAAAGTTTTGAGGTTTGTATATTTAATTTACTTATGTATTTTTATAAATATTCTAACCAGAATGAAATATAAATCATTTAAATGAGTTGTTTTATCAATGAAACTGAATCTTTGATTATGAGAAACATGAGTTGAAAATTATAAAAAAAATTGGGCTTCCCATTCTAATACGGTGTGTATAGTTTGCTAGTTAACGTGGAAGACTTAAAAGCTAATAGAAAACTCACTAAAAATAATGTTAGACTAGAGACTTTGATTTCAACCTGTAAAATATATGAAAAGCTGTTTTTAATTTCACTCGATAGAAACAGATTTTAACTCTTTATTGTTCCAGATAGTAAACGACGTTAGATTGAATAATATGTTTCTTTTTAGGAAATAGACGAAGGCGTAGTATTTGAGCGACCCAACATCTACTGCCATTTTGCGGGAGGAATTGGCGAGCCGAAATATATGCCGATAGCCAGCTGGGAGCAACTAAATCAACTTCTAACCGAGGCCATGGCGAGTTACAACGATCTCATTGCAGCTATGAACTTGGTATTGTTCGAGGATGCTATGATGCATATATGCAGGTGATTAAAATTAAAATCTACTAATAATGTTTTTTTTTATTATTCCGTTAACAAAAAGGTACAATTATCCATATAAAATCTTTTGCCCTGATTAACTATCAATGCACAACCAATACAGCTAAGTATAGACAGCTAAAATTTGGAAATTAGTTTTATTTTATAAAAAAACTCCCGCTAAGAAAAAATTTTTGAAAATTTCAACATAAAGTGGAAACACAATACCACGCGTGCAACAAAAAAAGATAAATTGGGAATAATTGGTGACTTTATCAGTCTTCTTTTGCATGTTGGAAGGTTGATAACGCAGGCGTAATACCCTTGGTCAGGCCAGGAGGGCCGTCTTCTTGTTTGCCACCTTAGTGGTATAATAGTATATGTTTGTAACTCAATCATGCTTAAAATTTTAAAGGGGATTAATATATTGCATACTTTTATTATATGTTTTGCGGAGAAAGCCATAGGATACAGATAATACGAATATCACTTAGTTCTATTTTTTGTATTTTATATTATACTTTTTTTAGGATAAGTCGTATTTTGGAGAGTCCAAGAGGTAGCGCTTTGCTAGTTGGTGTTGGAGGTTCTGGTAAACAGTCTCTTTCACGTCTTGCTGCCTTTATATCAAGTTTGGAAGTATTGCAAATACAACTCAAAAAGGGCTATGGGGTGACTGATCTCAAGGTAAAAATTTATTTATAATGATTTTATTATTTATTCTTTTTAGCAGGATATGGTAATTTTTATTGCAAAAATTTTTGTCACCCATCGTAATCGATATTCGAATATATTTATATAACTATATATATATATAGTTTTCTACGATTATACATATATTTTTTATATATTTATATATATATATATATATATATATATATATATATATATACAATAATATAATTATTTGCTACAGTATTAGAAATAATTTTACTTTTTGATTTCAGAATGAACTCTCTGGCCTATATATTAAAACAGGCCTAAAAAACGTGGGTATAATGTTTTTGATGACGGATGCGCAGGTTGCTAACGAACAGTTTCTAGTTCTAATCAATGATTTATTGGCCTCGGGTGAAGTTGGCGATTTATTCCCTGATGATGAGATTGAAAATATAATTGGTGGTGTAAGGAATGAGGTAAATATGTTGGTGGAATATTTGTTATTGTGTCATCATTATCATCATTCAGGTTAGAAATAGGCTTTTCCCAATGCTCTTAAATATGTACGATTCTGCGCTTTTCATATTCATTCAATTTCGCATACAGGAGTTTCTTTGTTACTTTTTATTACAAAGAGTCTTGTTTGAATTTTATAAAAATATGGTTATAAATCATTTATTACTAACATTATGAAGAAACAAACACATGCCGTTAATTTCACAATTTTTTAAATATTCTGCATACAGATACAGAATATTCTCTAAAACTAGTGTCATTATGCTTAATTTTTACTTTTGACTGATTTATGATATCATTTTATAGGTCAAAGGAGCTGGATTGCCGGATACGAGAGAAACTTGTTGGAAATTCTTTATAGACAGGGTTCGTAAACAGTTAAAAGTGGTGCTATGCTTTTCTCCAGTTGGCTCCACTTTGAGAGTTAGATCCAGAAAGTTTCCAGCCCTTATTAATTGTACCTCTATTAATTGGTTCCATGAGTGGCCACAAGAGGCTTTAGTGTCGGTATCAATGCGATTCTTAGAAGAATTACATGCATTGCCTGTAAGTAAGATTTTATGATATATATTTAAATTTGGATTCGCTTGATTAGTTTATTAGACTAGTTCGAATTCGATAGGAGCCTTTATTCTTGAGCTTAGTTCACGACCGTAATGCAAGTGACGCTACGCAATCAGATAGCTATTTATCGCTGTACAAGCGACGCCGATGTTAGTGGTGATGGTGGAAGCGATTGTACACTATTTGGGTTCGATTCGGCCCGTTCGTTGGGTAATGATGAAGTATCAATGCATATTATGACCACTTCATCAAATCCTACTAATATAATTGCTTTTTTCCACTGTGGGTTTGTTGGAAGAGAACTCTTTTAGAATTAAACTTGCCTTATTTGCTTACCTTTGTCTTATTTTTGTTTTATTACTGTGTACAATAAAGTGTCAATAAAAATAAATAAGTAAAATACTAAATAATTGTAATGATGTTGGGTGTCTATTACTTAGTCACGTTAAATAACCGTATGGATTTCAAATACATATACATTATACAACATACACGGGCTAGGTCACGGGATAAAGCTAGCTATATTATAATTTTTACCGTATTACAGATTGCTCTCAGAGATTCTATTGCAAGATTCATGGCATACGTCCATACCTCAGTTAACACAATATCTAAAGCATACTTATCTAATGAAAGAAGATATAATTATACAACTCCAAAGAGTTATCTAGAACAAATTAGTTTATACTCTAAACTAATCAACAACAAAACAGAAGAGCTACGTGCTAAAATTACTAGGTAAATATTAATTTATACAGTTTAAGTTTTTTTTTTCTTATTTGCAATATTCCTAATAAATTAGACAAACTTATTCTGAATATTGGTTGACTCATCATCATTAATATGTTTGAATTTACTTAGATTAAAAAAAATATGTTAGGTTCTTTCAAAATTATTTCTTTGGATGTCTATCAAAATATATTATTCAAATTTCAGATTAGAAAATGGTCTTGAAAAATTGCGTAGCACAGCATGCCAAGTAGATGCATTAAAAGCGAAATTGGCCATACAAGAAGTAGAACTGCAACAGAAGAATGAAGCAGCGGATAAACTTATTGAGATGGTTGGCATCGAAACTGCTAAAGTCCAAAACGAGAAAGCTCTCGGTAAGTTGTCAAATGTCACAGACTTAAAAATAATTAAAATCCTAGCATTTAGCTAGTCTATAATTATTTTCGGTTTGTATACAATGTGATTGTGTTAGATTATTGTTTAATATAAAAATTTATTGGAAAAAAGAACTTTTTTTTTCCTTGGTATTTTTTTTTATAAACTTTAACCAACTTTTAAAAAATCTAATGATACTGATACGATATGTTAATATATTAAAATGTGTAACCTTGTTCATTCAAAATATTCTCCGAAACTGTTTAATTTTTTATTTCAATATTAATATACAGTATCAATATGTAGTATATTTAGCAGATTTAATACTGGATCTCTCTTAGTCGACATAACCAATTTTAATGAAATTTTGTAAATATGAATTATTTACATCAACTTTAGAGATAACCTCGTTTTTATCTCTATTAGAAGAAATATGTAGATCCGAATGGTGGTAGTAGGAAGGAGATAAAAGAAGAAATTACTTAGGTATGATAGATAGCGATTAATGTAAGAAAAAAAATCCGACTCTAAAAAAATGTAAGGAAGTTATCTCTAAGATGCCAATTTGTATTTACAGCTGATGAAGAAGAAGAAAAAGTGGCTGTAATTACTGAAGAAGTATCGAAAAAGCAAAAAGATTGTGAAGTAGATCTGATTAAGGCTGAGCCGGCCTTGGTAGCCGCTCAAGAAGCCTTGAATACGTTGAACAAAGCGAACCTTACAGAACTAAAGTCGTTTGGTTCTCCTCCTGGTGCTGTTACTAATGTGACTGCTGCCGTCATGGTGCTTATGGCTCCTGGTGGGAAAATACCCAAAGACAGGAGTTGGAAAGCAGCCAAGGTATAAATTTAAAAATAGTAATTTAAATTTAAATCATCTTTATTCAAATAGACTTTTTTACAGACACTTTTAAGTCGTTATTTTTTTAAATCTATTCGGAAAGTTATTATCTGTTGAAAAAAGTTCGCAAGAAACTCAACAGTTACTATTTTAAATCTCTTTTAAATGTATTATGTCTAAAATTACATGGTCATTAAAAAGCCCGTGCATGATCGACTAATACCATGCACGCTTGTCATTCAAGTAATCGTTTAGAGTGTAATGGGCTTTGTTCAATAAGTGTTTTTAATTCAAGTTTTAAATTTATTAAAAGGTAATTCTAAAGCAGAGACGGTAGACTAGAAAAGAATTAGTAAAAGAGTGAAATAAATGTATCAATTAGCACAATGTACATATTGGGATTTAAAGACAACGTTTAAAGACTACAGATTAAAAAGAACTACATTATAGTACACTTCAGAAACTACCATAAACTACAGTATAGTTTATGGTCATTTAGAAGTATTAGTAATATCAGTAATTATAGTAGTAAGTATTTGAAAACTAATGACGGATGAGGACTATATTTGGTGTGAACAAAAAATTACTGAAATGACAATGTATAAGATAATAGGATAAAATGACAAAAATTTAGGGCATTTTTAATATGCCTAGTTATTTTTTTTTTTTTTGAGTTTAGTTCTACTATTTAATGTAAATATTAAATTAAAAGCGGAATATACTATACAGGTAGTGATGGCCAAAGTTGACGTCTTCCTTGAATCATTAATAAATTACGACAAGGAAAATATCCATCCGGACGTCATCAAAGCCATCCAGCCATATCTTAAGGATCCGGAGTTTGAACCAGGTATTTTTTTGTCCTATTATACTAACCTCACGATTACTATAAATGTAAAAATGAATTTCTTTATTATCTGTTAGCGCTTTAACGGCTCAACCAATAGTTATGAAATTTGGAATACATGTAATATTTCGACAGAGAAAGTTATAAGCTACTTTTATTCCGGTCATACAGTCAAAGTCGGGGTTAGCTAGTAATATTATAATTGAGATTATTAAGATGTTTTGGCTCGATCGCTTCTTAACGGCAAAACGGATTTACCCTCTTTGAGGCCAGTACGCTTGTAGTCTCTCTAGATTCTTAGCTAATAAAATCTCTGATTCCTTTAGAAGAAGGAGAAAAAGCTAAAGAAAAGACAAATTTGAAGGGGTCATTGTTTTTTTATAGAGTTTGTGCGATCTAAATCGGCCGCAGCGGCAGGTCTCTGCGCGTGGGTGATTAACATAATCAAATTCTACGAAGTGTTCTGCGACGTGGAGCCTAAAAGGAAGGCTCTCGCCGCAGCTAACGCAGAACTGGCAGCCGCTACGGAGAAACTACGATCGATCAAGTCTAAAGTTGCTGTACGTACACATTTCATTATCATTATTAAATCAAATCCATTATCGACTATTGAACATAGCGTCAGTGAAGTTCCAACAATACGAGAATATTTTTTTTGCAGTTTTTCTGTTTTAATTTGATTCAATTATTAAGAGTAATGTGGATCACTTAGTGTTAAAAAACTTATATAATAGTAATAGAATTATACATTTTATTCTATTTTTTTTAATCTGCTGTAAAGTGCCAAATTTTGGCTTACTCATTGTTAGAATTTCACTGACTACTATCTACTATCTTGCGCCAGTTGTGTCGTTTGTTGTGTAAACTACTTAGATTAGACCACCCCCCTCCTATATATGATAAAGAGGCAACTAAGGAAACAAGTAACTAAGGGATAAGCAGCAATCAAATCGAAATACTGCCCTCACGCGTTTTAAGCGTGGTAACTGTCTAAAATATTAGTTTACAAACAATTTATTTTGCTACATCACATTTGTAATAAAATATTTTAAGATAAATAATTAAAAATGTTAATCATCTTACGCAACAAAAAGATGAGGACAAACTTACTTCTGATATATTTAAACGATTCGAAAGTCCATCTCACATTATCTGCATTAGTATTATTTATTTCCGCTGCTGTAATATATGTGTGTAGCTATTAACCATTAATTTTATTTCTGTTGCTATAACTATACTACCCTAAGAACAAAAGAGAGCTTATCTCTTAATTATTAATTAATGGTCTACTTGATGGAAAGTGATAACCATTATCCATAGACAAGAAAAATTTTATGCGAGTCACAGAATACACTCTGTCGCTATAAAATCTTTCATGCGTTAATATTTGTGGGGACTAAAATGTTACGCCTTTATAATCTATATTTTCAATTACATTTATCATCTAAAATTAAAACTGAAATATAGACGTGCAAATACAGTTGTTTGGCTACAGGAACACGAGTGCTCTAGAGATACTCAAACTAACAACCTTTGTATGGTTACCTTCTGGTATTCTTCTAAAATTATAAATGTGCAAGTTTGTAAACATGTTTAAATGTTTGTTAATCACCCTTAAACTGCTAGTTGAAGTGGAATGATATTTAGTATATGGGTAGATTATATACTAAGATATACGATGCTTACATATATTACACTGATTTATGACAAAGTCGCGGGAAAAGATAGTATTGTATACATTCTAGTTCAGTTATATAATAATAATAATAATAACGTTGCTGATTAGTCGATTAGAATTATTTTGTTTAATTTTGCTACCATTAGTATGGGTGCGACTGCCAACATTAGAGAGATTAACTACTATCATTATTAGAAGAAGTTTTACATCCTTCTTCAAATGTTGGTAGTGGTACTCATTCTAATAGTAGCGGATAGGATTGACTACTATCATTATTAGAAGAAGTTTTACATCCTTCTTCAAATGTTGGTAGTCGTACTCGTTCTAATAGTAGCGGATAGGATTGACTACTATCATTATTGGTAGAAGTTTTACATCCTTCTTCAAATGATGCCAGTCGTACTCATTCTAATAGTAGCGAATAGGATTGACTACTTATCATTATTGGTAGAAGTTTTATCCTTCTTTAAATGTTGGCAGTCGCACTCATGCTAATGTTAGCAGAATTAAACAAAATAATTATAATCAATTAAACAATTATATTAACGCAAAATAACACTTAGTTCTGTAAGATTGTAAATAATACTATTTGCAGTCTCTAGAAGAACTGCTGGCTTCATTGACAGCAGACTTTGAGAAGGCGACTTCCGAGAAACTGAAATGCCAGCAGGAGGCTGACGCTACTAATAGAACTATTCAGCTCGCTAACAGATTAGTCAACGGACTCGCCAGTGAAAATGTTCGGTGGGCTGAGGCAGTATCCAGGTACGTGTTCATTGACAATATTTTTGTTCTTCATAGTTAATGCTTTTTATAATATTTTATGTATATCAATCTACCTAGAGTACCTAAAATAAGTCACTGTAATAGAATAAGAATTTAAATTTTAAAATATGTATTATTTTATAAACGTGTAACTACGAAATAAATATAAAAGTAATTAAGTATGATCAGCAATATCTTGGTTGTAATATTATAAAAATATATACATATATACATAAAAAATATTATATTATTATTTTGTTAAATTGTACTTTTTATACTATTATAATACATTATAACATATTATTTACATTTACGAAACCAGATATATAATATCTATAATATCTACATTAATTAATTTGATGTTTTAAAAGTTTTTTTTGTTATGTAGGTACTCTATACTTTTTTTTATAATATAAATTTCTTATTCTTCGTTTAGTTTCATGCAACAAAGTACGACTCTACCGGGGGACATTCTTCTTGTGTGTGCTTTCATATCGTACGTGGGATGTTTTACAAAGCAGTATCGATTGGATTTATTACATAAAAACTGGCTTGTCTTTTTAAAGACTTTAGAGGTTAGTAGTCGTAGTTAATTAAAAAATATAAACAGTACAACGAAAAAGCAAAAAGGATCAAAGAGATAGAATAAAAGAATATGAATATTTTAGTAACTATATTTATTAAGAAATATTAATTATTCACTATTTCTTTTCAACTTTAAGAAAATAGGAAGTTTTTAAAATGATTTTCTTTTACCCGAAAAATATTATTTTAAATTTCCTTTTAAAAATTTTCATCAATATCGGTCTAGTAGTTTAGTTTTTAAATTAAGATTACTGGTTTTGTCGCGATTGAAGTTGTTGTTCTTTTGTTGATCAAAATCTTAAATTATCATTTCATGATAATTTCGTCGTGTAAGAGCCAACTAATTACATTATAGCCATATAACCAGTACAAACTAAACTAAAAAACTATAAAAAGCCATCTGGACAGCGTGATAAGTTGGATGTACTCTATGTAGGATTCTCTTCTTACATGAAGTAAACCAAGACTCAACAATAAAATCCTAAATGGATGGACAGATTATGATCAATATAATGATAAGTCTCTCTTAGCACACAGTAGCTAATGAAAATAAAGTATATTTTGACTAGCTGTATCCTACTGTTTTATTTGTAGTTGTATTTTAATCAAATAATTAGTAATCTATAATATTATTTAAAAAATGAGCTATCAAATGCAAAAAAAACTGCATGTTTTAAATTTATTCGCTGTATTATATTAGTATAGATTTGAGATTTGTGTGCAATTGCAGCCTCCGATACCAATAACGGAAGGCTTAGATCCACTAACGATGCTCACGGATGACACGACGATAGCGATGTGGCAGAACGAAGGTTTGCCCTCTGACCGGATGAGTACTGAAAATGCCACGATACTGTCGAACTCGGATCGATGGCCACTTATGATTGATCCACAGGTATAAAATACATATAAACATTAATAAATATAAATTTAATACTGTTGACCACAGCTCTCTCTGCTTTTTTTATAAGACTAATGTAAAGAGAAAATTGATTATGAATTCATGGCTTACACTGTTATGAATTTGATTTTCTAAATCTAGATAAAGATTCTTGATGATTTCTATACTTGATTTAAAATTTCAATATTGCATATTTCAGTTACAAGGTGTTAAATGGATTAAACAAAAATACGGAGATCAATTACGAGTAATTCGTTTAGGACAAAAAGGATATCTAGATACTATAGAAAAAGCAATTATTAAAGGAGAAACAGTACTATTAGAAAATATAGGTGAAACTGTAGATCCAGTATTGGATCCTTTGCTTGGAAGAAATCTTATAAAGAAGGGAAAGTGAGTATAATAGAAATATACCTGTTGTTATGGTTTATTTATAAGGAAGCTTTAAACTTGTTTGTCATTCTAAGTTGCTTAAAGAAACTCCATTTGGTCCAATTATTAAGTTCAGAGTACATAGAAGTACCTATTAGTACTAATAACAAAATGTATACTTAGAAATTTTAGGAGTTATTGTTATTCAATCTAGTCCAGGAAAATATTGTTATCCACTAAAAAATCCTTTCAGATTTTACAAACTGATATATTTTCATGTGTATATTAATTTGTAAAGAAAATAAAAATTGCCATAATACCAAAGTCTGTATATTTTGAAATTACTGCAAATTTTATTAATCTTCTGAATTTTTATAATAAGTTTTAGCTTTTTATTGACATTTTTAAAATAGACGATATTACTCCGTTACTTCTAAAAATATAATTATAATAATGTTTTTAGAGCAATCAAAATTGGCGACAAAGAAATAGAATACAGCCCAAACTTCAGACTCATATTACATACTAAGTTGGCCAACCCTCATTATAAACCAGAAATGCAAGCACAAACAACTCTTGTTAATTTCACTGTAACCAGAGATGGGTTAGAAGATCAGCTATTGGCAGAAGTAGTAAAAGCTGAAAGACCAGATTTGGAGGATTTAAAAGCAGAGTTGACAAAACAACAAAATCAGTTTAAGATTCAGTTAAAAGGTTTAGAAGACGATCTTCTATCTCGATTGTCTTCAGCTGGAGAGAATATATTAGGCGACACCGCTTTAGTGGAGAACTTGGAAACAACAAAGAAAACTGCTGCTGATATTGAGAAAAAGGTTAGCATTCTATTATATTTTTGGCATAACATTTTTTTTATATTACTATGGTGGCAAATGACCCGTTTGATGGTATAGTATGGATGCTTATGCCATTAGGTATATTACGCGCATGATTTTGACCCTTAATAAACTTTATCGTGCCTTTTTTGAAGAATCTCGTGCTGTAATCTCTAAGGAAATAAAAATGTCCTACAATAATAAAAAATGTTTACAGGTAGCAGAAGCTAAAATTACATCTCACCAAATAGACCAAGCACGAGAATTCTATCGGCCAGCCTCAGCTAGAGCTTCTCTATTGTATTTTATTTTGAATGACTTAAATACCATCAATCCGATATATCAGTTCTCTTTGAAGGTAAATATAGAACACATTACTAGAAAACAATTCTTTCTGGTGTCATTTGTTTAGATTTGTGTATTTACAGGCCTTCAGCGTGGTATTTCAAAAAGCAATATCTCGTGCGGAACCTGCTGAAGAGGTCACCCAGAGAATAAAAAATTTGATTGACTGTATTAGTTATTCAGTTTTTCAGTATACATCTAGAGGATTGTTTGAATGTGATAAACTTATATTTGCATCACAGATGACTTTTCAGGTACGAACACTGTCTTCAGTGAAATGGGATATATATATATCGTACATAAATCTTAACTTTTTATTTTATTAACTCGTAATAATATTTATTTTAGATACTCTTAATGAGTGAAGAGATATCACCAGCCGAATTAGATTTTTTCCTACGGTTCCCAGTGAAACCCCATGTGACTAGTCCGGTGGATTTCTTGTCGAACCATAGCTGGGGTGGTATATGCTCTTTAGCTGGAAAGGACGAGTTTAGAAATCTCGATAGAGATATAGAAACCTCTTCCAAAAGGTGGAAAAAGATTGTGGAACTGGAATGTCCTGAAAGGGAAAAGTTTCCACAGGTATGCCTTTATAAGTATTGAAATATGTCCTGTGTGGTGCTTTAAAATAGGTTTTTATTTAAGTATATATATTTTTTTTAGGAATGGAAAAATAAAACGGCTTTACAAAGACTTTGTATGTTTAGAGCACTTAGACCTGATAGAATGACGTATGCAGTTGCGTAAGTATTAGTATATAATTAATGATACAAAAAGTCTAATTGAAAAGAACAGAATAAGTTAAAATTATATTTCCAGTGCATACATTGAAGAGAAAATGGGATCAAAATATGTCGAAAATAGAACAGTTGAATTCAGTAAGTCTTTTGAAGAAACCAGTCCTACGACTCCAATATTCTTTATATTATCACCGGGCGTGAACCCTTTGAAAGACGTGGAAGCATTGGGGAAAGTCATGGGATTCACAGCAGACAATGGAAATTTCCATAATGTGTCACTTGGTCAAGGTCAAGAGATAGTCGCCGAGCAGGCGATGGACATTGCCGTGCAAAAAGGACATTGGGTAGTGTTGCAGGTATATTAAAACTTTTTTTTATGGAAAACAATCTGTGTTTGGTATACATTAGCATTTTAATATCAGACTTTTTAATATTAATTATTAAAAAAAAATATTTGTTTATATTAATTATATAAACTGATATATGTATAGTATATATTACTCGTAGACTAGAGAAGGCCTATTCGGTATTCGGTAGTAATGGCCTATAAAGTCTTGAAATGGCATAAAGTTACTTTTATACGATTAGTAATATATAATAATTAAGTTATAACTTTAAATTTCAACTCGCAGAACATTCACTTGGTAAAGAAATGGTTACCAAGCCTGGAGAAGAAGATGGAGACGTTTGCTAGTGGTTGTCACAATGACTTCAGACTGTTCATGTCGGCTGAGCCGGCCGCTACTCCCGCCGCACACATCATACCACAAGGCATACTGGAATCTAGTATTAAAATCACAAATGAACCACCTACTGGGATGCAGGTAATTAGATTATAGAAATGGGGACCCCAGTCTGTTAATTCAGACTGTAATTAGATATTCAAACTTTTTTTAACTGATTTAATTGGGCATTATTTTTTTACACAAACTCACACAAAGAAGTGAAATAGGTACACTTCACTGACCTCACCTTCAAACGTTTCATAAACTTATTTTAGTTATTGAACAGTTTTGTCTCTTTCTCTTATGCTACATTCTCAATTTGAAAGAAAGCGACAAAAAAGTTCATGGGTAATATCGATCCGATATTTATATATTGGGTCCTTCTGGACATTGATCGCGAAAAAAAGATCATCGCTCATTTCGATGTTGTCCATATCGGTCGGTTATTTATTTTTCAGTATTCTAAAAGTCTGTGTATCCAATATTATTTTTTGGATAACAGACTTTTAACATATTCGTTATTGGATCAGTATATACATATTTTAACTAAAATATATAGATATTGCTATATATTACTCATCCCTAGTTTGTAGTAGGTTTTAGTTATTATGAATAAGGGGATAAATATTTTAAAAGGGGTAAGATATTTATACCAAGTAGTAATTTATTATGAAAGAACTTTTGGAAATGTCTACAGGATATATGGGACATTTATGAGTAGTAGTCTTTAATTTGTAAAAACGCATTGTCTCCTGATGTTGTTTATAATACTCTAGACTGGAAGTTTATACCATAATTTTGTTTGTCTTTTTTTTACAGGCCAATATTCACAAAGCACTGGACAATTTTAACCAGGAAACTTTAGAAATGTGCGGCAAAGAAGCAGAATTTAAAGCGATATTATTTGCTTTATGTTATTTTCATGCTGTGGTCGCCGAGAGAAGGAAATTCGGTCCACAAGGATGGAACAAGATTTACCCTTTCAATGTTGGTCAGTATATAATAGTCTTTTGCAATAGCTTATTGTCATATATATTGATATTATTATTAAACGAAAAAATTTGCAGGTGATCTGACTATAAGCGTTTTTGTCTTATACAACTATTTAGAAGCGAATGCAAGGGTCCCATGGGAAGATCTGAGATACCTCTTTGGCGAGATTATGTACGGAGGACACATCACTGATGACTGGGATCGGAGACTTTGTAATGCTTACCTTGAAGAGTTAATGCAGCCTGACTTGGTACGTAAATATATTTTTTTTATAATATCCACCTTAAACCTCTTATGGGGTAAAAAGGAAGATAACTGTGGACATTATGAAATACTAATTTTTAAAAATTTTTAAGTACTTAAATATTCGCGTTTTGTGTCATATAATTTCTGTAACTATTATATATAATTATTAATTTGTAATTGAATGTAAAATATTATAAATCGTGTATGATATTTGTTACCTGGTTCCAACATAGAATGGGCCACCCCTGTGGACGTCGTAAGGGGCTATTAAGGGAACACAATGGCCGAGAGATCAGCAGCAGCGTCTCTTTTAAAACATCACTAAAGCCTAATTGCGGTTGTTAATCTGTCCGTCCCAAGCGTGGCCATTATTGGCAATGGGGGAGGCGTACATTCAGCAGTGATAAGGATGATGATATTTTGCACATAACAAAAAACAAATTTCTTTTAATAGGTCGACGGCGAACTTCAATTAGCTCCTGGATTTCCCGCCCCTCCGAATACTGATTATTGCGGCTATCACCAATACATAGAAGACGCAATGCCTCCCGAATCACCATACTTATACGGCCTGCATCCAAACGCCGAGATTGGTTTCCTTACCACCACTTCAGAAAACCTTTTCAGGACCATATTCGAGATGCAGCCCAGAGATGCGCAGGCATCTGGAGCTGCTACTGTTACTAGGGAAGACAAGGTAGGTCAATTTAATCAGACTCTTGAACTTGCATGATAGGGTAGAGATTAGAAAAAAACATGGAAATTACTAGACATAATCAGTCATTCCATAAGCTTCTTCTTTTAAGTGATTGCTCTATACGCGAAACTGAACGTATTTATTCATTAATGATTTGGCTGTAGGTAAAACAAATGCTCGATGAAATAATGGAAAAGTTGCCAGAGGAGTTCAATATGGTGGAGATTATGGGGAAAGTGGAAGAAAGAACGCCATATGTAATCGTTGCATTCCAGGAGTGCGAACGGATGAATTATTTAACGGGAGAGATGAAACGATCACTTAGGGAGTTAGACTTGGGATTAAAGGTAATTTTAGTATAGATGAAGCATTATAATAGGGAATATCACAATTGTTTAATATATTATTTAATATAAATAGGAATAAAGATATTGGACTAAAACTTTTATCCATAGATAGGAAGCTATATTATTTAAGAACATACAGGTTAAAACCATTAGAACAAAAAACAATATCTGATGAAAATTGTATGCGTGATACATGCAAAATTAAATGTACGTATATTGACATATAAAATGTTAATAAATCCACTTCTTACTTTTTATCTTACTTTTTTCTAATATAATAAAATTGTAAGTACATGATGTTTGTACATAGGCGATATTTAAGAATAATCAATGATTTATTAAGTGCAATAGAAGCCAATACAATATTTTTTTTTAATTTAGTCTGTCTGTTTGTATGTTTGTTCCAGAATCACGCAGAAACTACTGCATTAAGTTAATTTCGGTTTTCACAATTGTATTCCTTTGAAGGTCTAAATTAAAATACAGTGTATGTTTTATACATACACTATATATGTATGATACAGTATCTAGAAGCGAAAATTTACGTGTACGAAGTAGCGGGTAAAAAGCGGGTAGGCTAGTAAAAAATATAAATTGTTTTGGACTTGATTTTTTACTTTAGTAGATACTAATGTACCAAAATTATTTATTAGTGAGTATTTCGCTATATTTCAGGGTGAACTTACGATTACTTCTGATATGGAAGATTTGGAAAATGCATTATTTTTGGATCAAGTGAGTATTATGTACCAACATTAATGAAATTAAAAAAGAAATCTATATTAATCTTTAGATAAACTTTAATTCTATCTTTCCGAGTTAAATATTTAACTATTGATTTGCTATTGCAGGTACCTGCAATATGGTCCCAGAGAGCATACCCCTCATTACTCGGTTTATCAGCATGGTACGTAGATTTGCTTCTTCGCCTACGAGAGCTGGAAACTTGGGCCACTGACTTTGTTGTAAGTAATTTATAGATAACATAATTAACAAATTATTACCAGTTTTTTTTTCTAAGAAAAATAGGTAGAGTATCAAACAAGCTGATGAAAAAGTGCTAGCTATCGCCTACGGATATAAAACGGCACATAAATTGCCATTTTTGAAGACTATAATATTATTTACTACAAGAAGAAATATTATTGTCATAGCACAACTTTTAACTAAAACAACATTGCAAGTATAGCTGCTTAATGGCAGAAACTCGAATAGGGATAGAGGTACCTTAGCAGATAATTTTTCTGTCGCTCAACCAATCTTTTTCATACCACGTGTGTGGAAAACGAGCATACTGTTTGACGGTAAACGATCACTGTAGTTTAAGAACTTCCTTAACGCTAGTGGTATCATGTGTGCGTTGCCGACCCTGAAGAACCCTTAATACATACTTTTTGAAGAACTCCATACTGTAGCCTCTAGGGAGCTCAATCCACAGCCTGAGCGTTCATTCGCACTTGCCACGAAACTTGGCATACTTTTTGGGATGGTGGAGGAGACAAGGTGAGGTGGAGGAGCTCTTTTTAACCCGGTTAATCAGCATAGCCTGCTTACGCTGATACAGCCATGGGTATAAGTCCATATACGTGCTTTAATTGGCAGTTACCATCATCTGTATGGTTGGCTGGATTCTTCAACCCGCAGAGCCTCCTCACAGCTATCATGCAGAGTACAGCCCGACGATACGAGCTGCCCTTGGACAAGATGTGTTTACAGTGTGACGTCACTAAGAAAATGAAGGAAGAGTTTACGTGAGTGTTATATCATTTATATACTTTCCCACTCCAAGCTATATCTGATAGGTATTCCCATTAATGTAATAAATGCGAAAGTTTGTAACGATGGATGGGTAGATGGATGAATAGATATTTTTTTACTCTTTCACGCAAAAACTACTGAACGGATTCGAATGAAATTTGGTACATGGGTAGGTTATATCCTAACTTAGCACATAGGACACTTTATAATCTGATTTACATGAGTGGAGCTGCGGGATACAACTAGTGAATAATAAGGCTGTTTATTAGAAATGATAAAAGAGAAATGAGATAAACTTTCCAATAGCCTCTGATTATTTATCTATCATATCAATTGAATTAGGTAACTTCAATTCTTTCAGAATTTGGCGGATTTGGCGAATGAACTAGTTTTACGTTATACAGGCATATAAGATGCTCACTTGACTTAGTTCCTTTACCTTTAGACCTAGCTTATAAGATGTGTTGTTTTTACTACGCTGGACAATTTTTCTGACTTACTGATCTATTAATGTCCCGTCTAAGCGTACATTATGAAACAATTTTCCGAATTTTTTTCCGAAAAGATTTTGTTTGTAATAGATAAATTCAAAAATACTTAATCGATTTTAAGTATTCTTTAAGCTATAGAAAGCTACATTATTAGTGACCAACGCGGGTTATATTTTATTATAAAAAAAGAAACGCGCAAACTTGCTGTGGGTCGTTAGTATATAATCTAGACATTCTATTCGCGACCAGTTTGTTCGGCTGTAATTTGTTATAAGTACATACCGTACTCCACAACGGGATACTTAGACAATCATGTGTATTATATATATATATATATATATATATATATATATATATATATATATATATATATATATATATATAGTTAATCTAAGTTTCCTTATAGTTAATCCTTCCTTGATAGTTGTCTAAATTCCATTGATTATAATAAATTTCCGGTGTTTATATTTTATTTTCATGCGCCATTTAGAATTGTTACTTACATTTAAAATCCACTTGTTAGTATTAAATATAAATGCACGAGGATAAGGTTTAAAGTTCTCGGTCTGAGAATAAAAGACTGAGATTTTTAGTACTAAAAAATATTTTTATTTTTCTACATAATCTCCTTTGACTTCAACACACTTGATTCAGCGTTTCTCTAACATCAGTATTCCATTCCTGGAAGTGAGAGTCTGGAAGGTTGCGAAAATATTCATTTACGGCCTTTTTAAATTCTTTATTGGACGTGAACTGCTTCTCAGAAACAAATTTCTTCAAGTTTGGGAATAGATAGAAGTCGGAGGGTGCCAAATCAGGAAAATAGAGGGGATGACTGAGCAAATCGTACCCTGTAATCGTACGAATTTTATGAGCGCACAATATTCAAGTTTATCTATTTTAAAGAAAAACAAGCACGACGTTTACTGCAAAAATTCGTGTAAATAAACTCGTAGTTCTTTGTGCGTTTGGATCTCACGCGTGATTATTTTTTGCTGAAAACAATATACATTGCGGATTCTCATTGCTTAGTGTTTTTTTGTATAAAATTTTTCCACATTTCTGTCATTAGATTTTGCGCGATGAATAACACTGAATTAACATTGAATCGGAAATAATTTGAAGTACCTGTAGAGGTACAAGCAAAACAACCAAAGTAACCGACGTAGCCCGAAGGATAGGCAAGCTTAAGTGACAATGGGTTGGTCACATAACTCGAAAAACCGACAACCGATAGGGAAGAAAAGTTTTTGAGTGGCGACCACTAGATGGAGTGACTACCTCAAATGTATTGCAGAGTCGGTGGATGCGGATAGCTCAGGACAGTTCCTTGTGGCAGTCTATAGTGGACGCCTATATTGCAGCAGTGGACAGATAATGGCAGAAATGATGAATGATGATGACGATGATCGGTTTATATAATCATTCTTACTACATTCACACTTATACAATAATATTATTTTTTAATGGGGTCATCGCCTGTGCCCTGTCTATCAATGTGAGAAAATAAAAGGTGAGAATATTGGCATGTTTATTAAATATAAAGAACCAGCTTTTTTTAAATTTCGATTTTAAATACAACTTTAAGAGATCAATGAATGTCTGTTTTTTTTTTATATAAATAAAATTTATTCACGATTTGTATCGATCACAAAATTTTAAATTTATGTCTGTAATATTATTTAGGTGTGTGAATAATCATTGTTAATGACAATGACAATTACTACATATATAAATCAACATCATCTTGCTGTTATATATATATATATATATATATATATATATATATATATATATATATATATATATATATATATATATATATATATATATATATATATATATATAAATCTATTCAAATGCAAATGATATAGTATAGCATGATTATTATACATATTCTTATACTACTAATGGAATTTATGTATTTATAAAAAAAAATATAAGGAAAATGCATGGTCTTGTTTGAAATTTGGCTTGATACATATTATATGATATATATTTTATGTGGGTTAAAATACTTTAAATGCTCAAAATGCATGATGAATGACTGCATGCTATAGCATGCTCAATGTCAATAAAAAAATGGCAACATACACTTATTTAATTGTTATGTCTATACGTATGGATGGTTTTCAGCAAGCCTTGTTCAGCTTCGGTGGACTTTTAAACTATGCTTTTCTATTTGTAGTCCCCAGAAAATCCGACGTCTCTTAATATAAAAGGGACCACTTTATAAAATAATGACTATGATATCAACTTTATTGAAGACTTAAAACCAAAAAAGTTTACTGAAATTTTACCTAATTTGCGCTTGATGAAAATTACCTAAATAAATGTATGATATTATTTACAGACTTTGCAGACATATGGGTTTGAATTACATGGGTTTTAGTATATTTTTTACAGTTAAAAATTATTTCGAATCATCCATATATAATATATGGTCCAGATATAAATATATGGTCCAGACATAGAATGAGCCATCCCTTCCTTTCCCGTGAATATCGTAAGAGGCGACTAAGGGTTTAATGGTCGAGGGATGGGCAGCAGCGTCTCTCTTAAAACATTACGAAAGCCTAACTGCAAGTGTCAACCCGTCTGTCAAGCGTGGTAACTATTGGGAAAACCCCCTAATGGTAAACACCAAAAAACACCATAAACCTAGTGAGAGAGGCCTATATCCAGCAGTAGACAGTTAATGGCTGATATGATATGGCGTGAATTTACAGGGTACAGAGGAATAACACCTGAGTCCTCAGGAATGGCAACGCATGGGGGGGGGGGTAGCATGGGCGAAACAGTATACTCTGTTATGTCCATAGTACTGTTCATGTCTATTGGCGACTGTTACGACTTTCCGTCAGGTGGGTCTTTTTTTTTGATGGGTGAATATGGTATGGTAACCCCGCCTGCGCTAACGGGATACGCTGACGGAGCACCAGTGAAGAATGATAGGTGAGAATGAAAACAGGTCAGTAAGACCATCATGATGAATTCATCAGGAATTAACCATGATAGTTTCCAAGGAGAACCGCGAGGAGGTCGACCTGGTTGGGTATATTGCTAACAATAGGATTCTCAGTCCCCATTACTAACAATCCCTTTCCCCCTCCGTCAGGTGGGTCGACAGCTTGTTTATCATTTTAAATTGCATAAAAAAAGGTATGGTAATGAAATTAATGCCAACGGCGTCAACATGTAAATACTACGTTATTTTCTTTTCTAATTATTTTCTCATGTCAATCAAAATGGTGTTCATGCGTTTGAAAAAATTAACAGTACTTTATGATGACTAAGCCTCTGGCAGTGAAAACAAAGCACGTTTTAGATCGATAACACTGGACATTGGTTTGTTTACATATTAACTTATCGACATTTCGCATCTTAGGCATGTATTGTGTTATTTGGATACAAGAAAGTCCGCTGCATATGTAATAAGGCGAGACTTGTACAACTATTGTAGTTGAACCATTAGATTATCTTTCTTTTTTTTTTATGCAACATAGAATGGCAAACAAGCTGAAGGTCCACCTGGAAGAAAGTGGTAACCGTCGCCTATAAACATGAGTAATACCATGGACATAACAGAGTATACTATTTCGCCCATGATACCCCCCATGCGTTGCCATTCCTGAGGACTTAGATATTATTCCTCTGTACCCAGTAAATTCACGCCATATCCCACCATTCAAACCGAAACACAGCCATGCAAACACAACTGCTTTACGGTTGAAACACGAATGGGACAGAGGTACCCAAGCAAAATGTACTTATTCTTACTAATGTAATAAAATTTACGCCAAAATCATATAATTTTTAGAAATTTTGTCTGTTTGTCATGCTGATCTCTAAAAATAACAATAAAATACATTAGAAGAACAGTTTATAAGAAATAAACCCAGTAGAAGGACGTAGGATGCAATATTTAGTATTCATATAAATCACACGTGTCTCAGTGACGCTATCTAGTGACAATAAGTGAGCTTGATCGAACTGCTTTGTTTGTGACACTCGATTGTTTCTTAAACTGTGACTGCATAGCTATGATGCTGCAGGATCATTGATGCCAGGGCGGCACCGCGCGACGGCGCTTACGTGCATGGGCTGCTGATGGAAGGTGCCAGGTGGGATGTCCAGGCCGGCATCATCATGGATTCCAAGCTTAAGGATCTGTTCCCACCGATGCCGGTGATTAACGTCAGGGTAAGCATATTTAAATGAGAGCGCACAACAGCTTACTTCACTGACTCAGAAAACCTAACTGATTTTGAGTTAGAAATTGATTGACACCAAAACTAATATTATTATTTTTTTATATTTGTATTTTGTTTCTTATTTAGGTTCAGTACATACCTTCTATTTTGATAATTTCAATTATATTTGCCACACGGACAGACTTTAATTTTTTTATACTGTTGAGTAAGTATTCGATAAGTATGTATGTTCAAAAATTCACAGTCGTGTATTTTATTTCTTTCGACGTATTTTGATGGCAGTTTTTTACGTTAGTAAAACTGCACACCTTGTTTATAATATCACATTTATAACTAGTGATATAAATGTGATAAATGGTTTCTTATCACAGCTAAACGGATTTTTAACATAATTTGAATTGTATCCTAGATCTAAATATCATATATATACTATCACGACAGAAAGCTTTGGCATTATTAAACATACCATATTACCAGAGGGAGACTTTGTACAAAAGTCGATTGCTAGGGTACCTCTGTCTCATTCGTGTTTCAACCGTGAAGCAGCTGTGTTTGCATGGCTGTGTTTCGGTTTGAAGGGTGGGATATGGCGTGAATTTACTGGGTACAGAGGAATATGTTAACACCTGAGTCCTCAGGTATGGTAACGCATGGGGGGTATCATGGGCGAAACGGTGTGCCCTGTTGTGTCCATGGTACTGCTCATGTCTATAGGCGACGGTTATCACTTTCCATCAGGTGGACCGTCAGCTTGTTTGCCATTCTAAGTTGTATAAAAAAAAAACATTACAATATCAGCATTATAAGTATCATATAAAAAGTAAACTACAAATATATGTAAGTAAATCTGGTCATTGTTACAATTTCAATTGTACAAATTAACTTTTAGGCCATTACCCAAGACAAACAAGATCTCCGTAATATGTACGAGTGTCCAGTCTACAAGACGAGAACCAGGGGTCCTACTTACGTATGGACTTTCAATTTGAAGACTAAGGATAAACCATCCAAGTGGACCTTAGCTGGTGTCGCGTTACTACTGCAAGTCTAAGGTCTTGTTATTTTTAAGTAACCTATAAATCATAGTAGAGAATTTAGAAAAATTTAAATTACAACAAATAGTTTTTGCTCTTCGCACGTCTATATTTATAACAAACTATTGAATCAAAGCACTTACTGCATTATTTATAAAAACGATAAATGTCTAACATCTAAATGTATTTTAGCTATTGAAAAGTTTTGTCTCTTATGCTAAATTTTGATTTTTAAAATGTATGATCAAACATCCAAATATTTTAGAAGAATTGTAAAAGTTCGACTTTTATGTAGGTATATAAATTTACCTATACCTTTGAAACAGATCCTTTACGTTGTCGGTAGGGAGAATCAAGTACCGATATTTTTTATTCTTATCTAAATTTTTTGCTTTTTCTACATTCATATTACTTCATGACACCACGTTTATTTCGGGGACCGTTGGCTTCTTCTTCACACATTGATTTGGTGATTTACTTGTATCAATACTTGTACTCTGATAAGGTAAATACCGATTGAAAGAGAAAACAATAATTCTTTAAAATTGGGAAATATGCATGAGATGAACTATGAATGTGGATCAAGCAAGAGATATATGTAGGAATAGAAAACTTTGGCACTTGGTTGTTTCTATCTACTCTCTCATAGATTTGTGTAAAGATTAATAAATGTAGGAGGAAATAGGAGGAATAACATTATAGCTCTGTTTTAGATAACTCTGAGTTCTGACATAAATTTAACAAAAAATACAATTTTATTAAGCTATATTTGTTAGCAGTATTTCACTTGAAATAAGAACAATGTAATCACATTAGGTACGTGTTGTTTTTTGAAATTTTTTTTGTCATTTCTTTACCAGATTCCATTCAAATCGCTTTTATAAATTCAACCATAAAGTGAATTAATAATAATATTGTTAAATAAGAAGTTTAATAATACAATAAGAAGATATTTCACTTAAAAATAGTTTACTCAATTGACCTCATTCAGAGTCGAAATCCATAAGAAATTATAAGGTAAATATTATCAGATTGTTAAATCTAATTGCTTTATTAAAGATCTTAAATATTTATTAGATATTACTTGTTTGCTATTTAATTTTATCGTTCTCTTATTATTTATAAATTTTATTGTTGATATGTTAACATATGTCATAGATTTAAATTAGAAATGTAATAAAGAATTATTACTTGATTGCTTGGTATTGATTATGTAACAAATGTTAAGTTTGAACGAATAATTTTTATTATAGAGGATGTAATAAAAGATTATATATAACGATCCGAAAACGTCAGTTAAAATTGTTTCCACTTTTAAACCACGTCTCTTTGTTCGTTTATCTACTATCGTTAGGCTGTGGTTAAAAAACCACAGAAAATTTAATATAAATTATCTGTAAATTTATAATGAATTTAGTTTTAAATTAGTTTAGTTTCTCGTTATTTAGGGATAATATGTAATTTTATTATATAGCTGGGAAGTATAATGTGTTTTTATTGTAGTTTTATATACAAATATATATCAGAATGAAACTCCTCAGTTCCTCTCCTTAATTAGCATTAATTTTAATTTAAAGAATCTGTCACAAAATTTTGAAATTTTCATTTTGTATTTTAAAATAAAATCGATTTTATTTTTAAAAAGTGTTAGATATCAACACTATTGTCAATACTTTTAATTAAAAAAAGACATCGTTGAATACTAAAGCCCACATAATTCATTATAAAAAAAAAGCACCAGCAAGTATAGAAAAGATATTGCGTTTCATATAAACATTTATGGTCGAATTGTGAACCTCGTATTGTTTAACATATTATGATATGGTGTTTATCAGACAATAACTTTAACTATGTGAAGGTGAAGGCGGATAAGCGAAATTGACCTTTGGTTAACCTTCAACCTTCACAAAAACCTTTTATACTAACTGCTTATTATAGCCGGATCCATTGTACACTGAGATGGCACCGCAAAAAATACCCATTGAAAAGGCCACTTTCACTGCTATTTTACTCATACATGTATCATCGTGATTTGTGTTCGCTAAATGGATTAGAAACTGCGTCTTAATAAAATACTCATTTTATTCTATTTTGTATGTGAAGTGCAAAACTTTTTTTGCCAAAAATAGTCAGTAAAAGAAATATTCGTAAGTACATCGTCGTTCAGACATTAAGCAGTTGTGTTTTTTTTTAATAAAAAAGAATGCAAATATTCTTTACTTGTAAAGAGTGACAGTAGCAAAAACTAATAAATATATAAGACAATCATACAGATATATCAATATAAAAATGAGCCAACATTTGAGCTTTGTTATTGACAATGTTGCTGTAATTTCAAATGGTATTGTTTAATTTTATGTATTTCCTTCACTTGCATTATACATTTGTGCAAACTTTGGTGATTGTTAAACTATTATTTGTGTAATTATGTATTGTTATAGCTGTCTGTTTGCTTTAAATAAATAAACAAAATTAAACTTAATTAATCCATAATAACAACACTTACAAATAATTATAATAAATTATTATTATTGTTAAAAAGTATTTATTTATTTAAAATGGATTGGCAACTCCACTTCCGTTATTGATAAAGTGTTATACGTATTATTCATTATTTGCAGTGTCTTATTTAAAATATCTCTAAAGCCTAACTACAGTTGTCAATCCACCTGCCAAGCGTGGCAACTACCGGCGAAAGTCCAGAGAAGAACGGGAAGGTTTATGTACAGCAATGTACAGTTAAAGGTTGATATAATGATATTACTTAACAGAGAATATTTACGTATTACGACGCATCATTAAACACGTTTTCGAGTGACACATGAACGTGTTTCATAATTAAAAGGAAAAGGAATTTCGTCATTCTAAATAGATATATCAATATTATCAAACGTAATACAAACTGACTCTACTATTGATAACTTGAAGTATTCTCTAAAGTTTTTTTATTTTATTATAAAGGTAATTGAATGGGGAAAGGATTGGCAGCAGCGTCCCTTTTAAATCATCACGAAAGCCTACCTGCGTTTGCCAACTCGCCTGCCAAGTGTGGCCCAACAGGGGGAGGATTTTGTTCACCAATGGACTGTAAACGGCTGATATGATGAGCATGATGATGATATAGCTCCATTTATTATTTCGTAAAATTTATATCGTTATGTATACATAAATAACTTGACTAAATTATAATTCTATAGAGTTATTTATATGCTATTCTAGAAGACATTTAACAAAAATTTTACGGAAGAGTCTTGTTGTGGGTCATAGGTGACCGCGCCTACTTAAAAGGTCATCTGGGTTATTTAGTATCCATAATATGGATTTAGTAGTCATAAATTGTACATAAATTATTACATTATAATTAGGTACATTGGTGATTAACGCGACATAATTAAATTCAGTCTGACAAGTTTAAAATTTGAATACATTATATACATATATATGTATATATTCATATAAATATATATGTTATTAATGTTCCACCTAAACTCGGAGAAGTACAAATATATAGCTTCATATTAGTAAGCATTTTTAAATAGTAATTTTTCACTTTTTACTTACTTGTATCATTGTACATCGTCCGCTTAATTGTTGTGAGCATATTGTTGGTATGTCTTTTATAAATAAATAAATAAATTACCATGTAGGTCTTTTTTTAATGGATGACAATGGAATGGTAACCCCGCCTGTGCTAACGGTATACGCTGGTGAGGCACTAACGTGAATCATTCTTGTAGAATGATTCTCTGAGGTATCGTTCGGATTGATATCTGTTGGTGATTTTTACCACCGTACCATCCGCCACAAACTAAAGCTCCATCCCAACCATTTGGATGAGTGGCGGTGCTCAATCGTGCATTTTTCAAGGCACTTTCTTCCACACAAAACCAATCTTTGGAATCAACTTCTAGCAGCACTATTTCCGAACCGATACGACATCATAACCGCCAAGAAAAGAGCATATTCCTTTTTAAAAGACCGGCAGCACACTTGCATTGCTTCTGGTATTGCAGGTGATCATGGGCGGCGGTAGTCACTTACCTTTTAGTGAGCCGCATGCTCGTTTACCTCTTGTGTTATAAAAAATCGTCACAATAGGCTAATTGACCTGGTTTTATACCTCTTCTGTCAGTTTCGCTTTAGCCCCTTACTAGTGCCCCACCAGCGTTATTATATTATACCAGTAGCATAGGGTTACTATTTCATTATCATCATTAACAAAACGTCTCTCAATCTCGTATACGTATCTCAGTGTGCGAACAAATAATTAGTTCATGTATCCAATCAAATCGACCACGAAATTGTTGTATGTATCGGTTTTAACAAATACAAACAGCAAATTAACCGTACGTACATTTTACCACGACCTCTGGTGGGTGCAGCATTAGCATATTAGTAGGTTGTTAGGCACCTCTCCTTGTCAGACTTGCTTAGTGTAGTGGGTGGTACATACACTGGTTGGTAAGGTAAAAAAACAACACTTTCATTAGGTTAATTGTTAATTAAACTTTGAATAAGAATATTTGTATTTTATATTCTATTAACATTTGAGATATTTGGATTTAGAATTATTGGGTAGAGCAAGTAAGATGTGACTACTATCAACAAAACCAGCTTTAGTTACGTTACTCAATAGATATTATATCTATATCCACATATATTAAAAGTAATGTTTATGTATTATATATGTATTTCTCATGTATTATGTATAATTATTTTAATATGTCACTGTAATTATGCCACATATTTTTCACCTTCATACGCTTTCTGTTTTTACCTAATGGTTAGCTGGTTGAGAATGCCATATGGCATTAAGCTCGTCACTTGTACAAACTATTACTGTGCTATATATATATATATATATATATATATATATATATATATATATATATATATATATATATATATATATATATATATATATATACCGTGATATAGCTGTGCTTGCGTGGACGTATTTCGGTTTGTAAGCTAGAGATATAATAGTAAAATTACAGTTTTTTTCATACCACGAAGATTGCAATCAAGCATACAGTCCGTCTAATGGTAAACGGTTACTGTAGCTTATGTACATCTGTAATACTAGAGGAAACACGTGCGCGGTGTCGATTCAAGACTGTTTCGCCCATGATACTTCCCATGCGTTGCCATTCCTGAAGACTCAGGTGTTATTCCTCTGTACCGTATATAATACCATATTTTTAACAAGGAAGAATATATTTTAAATCACCAGACATATGCTATTCTCAACCGAGTTTAAAAAGACGGACGTTTTTAATACGATTTAATTTTTTATATTTGTTACCTCATAACTCCGTCAGTTCTAAACCTATAATTCCGATGGATATTTCTTTTTTTTATCTGAAAGGAAATACTCATAGATTACATCTACAGAGATTTTATCAAAATTGGTTTTGTCACAATTGAAGTCGGTCTTTTTCGTGGGACACAATATTATGTTTTTTTTTTGATGAGTGAAAATGGTATGGTAACCCCGCCTGCGCTAACGGGATATGCTGGCGGAGCACCAGTGAAGGGTGATAGATGAGAATGAAAACAGGCCAGTTGGCCCATCATGATGAATTCATCAGGAATTAACCATGATAGTTTCCAGGGGGAACCGCGTGGAGGTCGACCTGGTTGGGTATATTGTTAGCAATGGGATTCTCAGTCTCTATTACTAACAATCCCTTTCCCCCCACAATATTATGTTATGGTTGTTTAGAAGAAATGTTATGAAGATTAGCTTTTATTTATGCAAAATCGTATGACAAAATTCTGCAGTCTGTATTAGCCCTAATGTCTAACAGTTTTTGGCCCTTGGATCAAGGTCAAGGTAAAGGTTGTCTATACAATAAGTTCATTTATAATTTATCAATACTTATAAGGTTAAGATGTTACCTTTGACTTTGGGATTAGACTCGTGATTCCATTTTTAATGCATTGTTTGTATTCCCTTACACACAAAAACATATCTATCACATCATACATCATTAGATATAATTGGGCATTATTGTATTTCAATAATAAACATAAAGCGTACAAATTGAACTAATGGCGCTAAAGTATCAGATAATTATTTTGGCATTTATTGTATTTATGAATTTTATTGGCATAAGAATGAATAGATTGGGTGGAAGAGCCGCTTTCATTTTATAACACTTTCATTGTAAATTCGTCAAAATGTATGCTTTTTACTGCTAAAACTCACAAACTTTGAGTTATCACAAATTTATATACATATATATTATTTTAAGGATTTTGCCATATGACGCGATTAAAGCGACATTCAAGTGCGAACAATCAAGATGGACGCTCTAACTGCAATATCAGTTGTTTGTGAATCCAAAATTCTTCATTTTTTGATAGAACGCGAAGCGAGACGCTGTAACGCAAGCACCATATTCACCCTGAAGAAGACTTCTGGATGATTTAGAACAGATTATCGGAAAAAAGAAGCATAATATGTTCATTGAATTCCTGTAGT